CCCCCCATGTTGGATATAGACTTATTTTGGACATGATAAGTACGATATTTCGAACCCCAAACCGATTTTGTGAGGTTGTAATTTTCTAATTTAAGTTTACCCAGACGTCTCTGAGTTTGAAGAGGATTGCCTCCTTGCATAGTAAACGGATTGAAAAATTAGAATATCTCAGCAGTACAGAAAGTTTTCTGCCTTCACATTGTTGTCCACACACTTTTAATTCCTTTCATACTTTTTGTCGTAGAGAAAAATTAATCAACCCTAAAAATTTTGAATCACTACAATTGACATACCTTGTCTCCAAATTAAGTCATCAATGTATTGTCTTAAATTATAAAAATACCCAGAAAAAAGATATCCAATAAAATATCTTGAATTTGAAGGAATTCTGTGCTGCCTTAACGCAATTCTCTTTTCTCTTTTTTAGCAAGGTGAGGGTGCCCCAGTTAATAGGAAGGGAAGCTGCGCTGGACATTTACGGGAAATTGCCAGTTTTTTCAAAGGCACTCATGTTACAATAAATGCTAGGAATGAAGAAGAAGTGGATGAAGATGAAATAATAGAGAAATTATCTAAAAGCACAGGTTCTAGTTACTCGTTCAAAACGCGGACAGAGCCTCTACTTCCAGTGAAAGAACCAGTGGTAAGATATATCTTTTATGATACTATCATTAAATTCACTATAAAATCTTTTAAAAAGAAGTGACTGACAGGAGTTTTTAACCCCGTATGCAAGTACAATAGCTCATTGTTTTTGAGATGATTCTAGTTGCACAATATTTTATGTGTGTTCAGTCAAACTGTAATAATTTGATAGCTAAAATGGGAAACCCTGTATTTACGTTTGCAGCATTATAGACTGCCCGTCATACTTTATTTTTTCTTTCGAAAGCAAGTCAAGGTAATTTCAAGAAAACTGTCTTAAATAGGGCCCTGGTTTTTTTCCTTTGCTAGCAGAATATTCTGTGCGAATTTCATGCTACAATTTTTACTTGTTTCTCTTCGAAAACTAAAATAGAAACAGAAATTTTGAATCCCCTCTAAAATAGAAACAGAAATTTTGAACCTTTTTGAATGGTTTTGCACTTTAGCCACCAAAGTATTCTGCAATGTTTTTAACTTAAAAAATAGACTAAACGAATCTTAATTAAAAAAGTTTACTAGTCTCATTGATATTAAAATTTTCCCAACTGTGAACAAATTTTATTGTCCTCAATTGGCTGAGGTGAGATTCAAATACCCTCTCATGTATTGCCTGGCAACAGTTTCTTGGTCCATTTCATAGTAACCTTAAAATTCTACATTTTGGGCCTCTAATTTTTTTCCGTTTTAACCTCAAAATTCCAAGTGTTGTTTTTCTCATTTTCTTTTCAATCCTTTATTTTCACAGGGCACAGTTTATAAAAAAGTGATTCCTAGGCAAGAAATCAACTCCGCAGAACGAGACAAGTTCTGGGCTGCTGAAGAAGAGGCAGAGCGAAAGCGGCAGGCTGAAGAAGCTCGAATTAGGGAAGAAAAACAAAGGTTAGCTGAGCTTGAGAGGCATCGTAGAGAGGTAATATTTAATTTTTTCCCCCTCAAACCTAGTTTAAAACTTGATGTCTAGACAAAGAATACCGGGAAAATCTGAGATTTATCAGGGAATGAAAACTTTCTGGGAAAAATCAGGGAATCTGTTCCAGAAACTAGGGATCCCTTCTTCTACCGCTCTGAGATGAACTACTCCCTTTAACTAAATTTGAATTTCCTCCAGGTTATCTTCCTACTACAATCATTCACCGACCAGTTATGAAACACTGAGTGTGTTTGTGTAGAGCCTCATGCGAGAAGATCGACATTAAAAGATAATCTGTTAAAATCGAAGACCGAAATTGGAGTGATCTTCCGTCAGTATACTCTGGGAAATATCAGGAAAAATGAGGAAAATCGGTCTTAAATAAAGGATATCTTGAGTGTGTCAAGAATTTTCAACTACATCCAGTATGGCACATGCAAAAGTGAAACATTTGTTCATTTCATTTAATATCTTTGTTAGTTTTTGAGATTAAACGTGTGCCAATTTATTCTCACCAAAAATCAGGAATTTTTTTTTTTAACAGGAAAATCCAAAATAAAATTTTAGCGGACACCGTGATGATCCTCTCTAATCGGGAATCAAACAAAATTTAAAAGCGGATCAGTGCCTTAAAATAAAAATAAAAAATGTTAAACCTCATATTGACAAATTCTGAATTTCATTATCATGAGTGTGATTTTTACAAAGCCAAGGAAATTGAAAAATTCCAGAGACTTTAGGGAAAAAAGGGAGATGCCGGAAAAAATGCTGGAGATCTCTGGCAATTACTAGGCACATTTCAGGGGCAAAGGATGTAGGCTATCTCGCAGAGTTAAGTAGGTAATAATCATGGGTGACTATTCCTGGATCATCAAAGTGTTTTCTGTCCATCATTCCCCGCAGTTTTGGTGTGTTTTTTGCTGTTTTCAGGTCAAGAAGGGGCAAAAAAGTTGACAGTGTGTCAATAATTTTTTAACTGCAATAGTTTTACTCTTCCTCATCAAAATGCAATCCCAACCTCTTGGTAAAGACTGGGTTTCTTAAAATCCTTGTGATTAAAGAAAGCAATATCAAGTTCACAATTTTTAACGTTAAATTTTTTTGAATACTCAAACTATATTTTGAGAGAGAAAATAAACAAGATACTGCACAGCCAAAATATCAGAAGATTATTTTTCCTCCGCATTTGTATACCAGTGAAAATTAGTTTAAACTCTATTTTCAGCTTAAATTCGTATGTCTAACCTTGTAGTGATTAACATGGTAACCCCATCTTTCTTTTTGCAGATGAGTGAAATGTCTATCCGAGAAGCCAAAGTCCCATCGGTAGAAAATATCAGTCAAGAGGCTATCAGGCCAATAGTAGAGAATATTGCTCAAGACACAGTTCAGCCTAGAATTCAGGAGATTGAAAATAACACAGAAAGCAATGCAGTTAACGAAATTGAAACAAATGCCAAAAAATCCAGGAGTGAGGTAAAGCATCCGTGAACTTGATCATTGATTTTATTTTTACGGACGAAATTAAGGCTATTCTTTTCAAGCAAATAGTCTGAAAAACATACAGGTATAGTACAGTGGCGTGGTGTGCTTTGCGACGCATCGATTGATCTGCCATTTAAACTGATGAAATAGGATTGATTAATAGGGTGTACGCTAGGAACACCTCAATAATAATTGATTCCATACCATACCGTTGAGTAGGGAAATATTGATATTTGATCATTCACGCCTCGCTACGGGCATAGTAGCAGCTCTCTGTCATAGATCTCTAAGAACTTAAAGATACATCTGTTCCAAGAGAGATCCAGGAAAATACCTGTATCTAGTTTAGGAAGGCTTGCTCCTCATTTAGTAAGGACTACAATTTCTGACCAATCTGACGTTGAGTAACCAGTGGACATGAGAGAGTCACCAGTTTATGAATCCAAATAGGAAGCGATCATGGTATGCATAATCGCAGTGGATGACCCCATAAAACGGAATCTTTCAAAGTGCAATATGTATCTCGGTAACTTTTAAAAGTAAAAATTTGCTGCTTGGACGGATCTTATTTTTAGCTAATCTACGAGAATCAAGCTTCAAATCACGATTCTGTGACCAGTGCAACTGGCCCGCTCTCTCTCTCTCTGCTAAAATTTTGATCTTTTATGATTTTTCCTTTTTCAGGAAGCCCAAGAATTAATTTCAACTCGAACTGTAGATGCTCGTGCAATTTTTGAAAATGCTGCCAAGAATAGCTCAGGAACACAATTATCCAATAAATCCGCAACACATATATCTAATAAATCTGCTTCCAAGGCCAGTCTTCAACCCTCAAACCACAGTACGGAGGATGGAAGACTCAATGCAGGTGCTCAAGAATCAGAGAAGGCGATGCAAAATGGCTCCGCAGAACCTCAGAACTCAAGTGAAAATGAACTAGACAGTGATAAATTAGATACAACTCCAGAAGTTCAACCGACGCCTGATCTGAATGGTTCTGCTGCTATTGATACAAATCGTAAGATGTCAAATGATTTTCTCAGTACAGATATTTTATACAGAGGCAGTGGAATTTATCTGTTGGGCTAGCTTGAAATATTTCTTCAAAAATTTAAACTGGGCACCAACATTTTCTTGTCCGCTGTACTGCCTGGCTAAGGAAAAACGCCATGTGAGCATTCAAATGTTGCCAAATTTCCTCTCAGAAAATATTAGTGCATTTATTTTTGAGAAAAGTCATTAATATTTTTCCTCGAATTTTTAGACATTTAAAATCAAATTCCAAACTGAATACTCGGAACTATTGAGAGAAAAATGTGCACCAGTTTTCCTGAAAATTTGTGATTACTCTGAGGATATTTGGCAATGTCTGAGGATTTGCATGGCGTTTTTTTTGTAGCGCCTCAGTGTAGGCATTCAGTCGTATAATTGAACTCCATTTTGCAATTAAGAAGTACAATTTCTGGCTCAGTTAAGAAACAATGTACTCGCTTTTACCATTAGTTTCCCTGGTGCGGTTTTACGGATGAAATCCAATTTTATATCCGTCAAAACATTGAAGAACTAAGGATAAGTGATCGTTAACTTTTCCTCTTTCAAAAGCTAAGTTAGAAAGGTATCTCCAGATTTTTCTGCTTATGAGACCTTAATTTCCTTGAAAACGTATCCTCATGCATGTGGTGGCCTGTATCAATGTACTACTGATCAATGAATACAGTCCCTAAACTTAGAAATTTCAACTCTTATTCTCAAAAATGCTCATATCCTTAACATAATCAAATTGCTAGATCTTCTCATGCCATTAACTCAGAAAAAAAAATCTGGTTTGCATTTATTGTATTCATATTTCCTGCTATTTAAGTGACTTTCCGGACTTCTGTTGCCACTGATGGCTCAATTCTAGGTAGGTCGTAAGAGTGTTTTTTGCACATCAGCTTCAGAGAGGAAGTATTTTCGGATTGAATTTCCTTGAAAAATTAACTAAAAAAACTGAAAAAGTACCTGAAAGGTGTTTCATGTTACTATTTAAAATTCGCCGAATAACTTGAGGAGTAAAACCTAAAGGCGAAAGTCTTTAAATTTTGGTTTATTTTGGCTACATTAATCTTGAATTAGTTTTTTTTATTACTAATGAATCTACCTGTTTATGTTTGATCAGACTCAAGCCCTGTACCCGGACAAACTGAAGGAGGCCTTCGTGCGGTAGCCTTATACGATTACCAAGCTGCTGACGAAACAGAAATATCCTTCGATCCTGGTCAAGTCATCACGAACATTGATCAAATTGATGTTGGTTGGTGGCAGGGCCTTGGTCCCGACGGATCTTACGGTTTATTCCCAGCGAATTATGTGGAGCTTCTGGAATAATAGCATACCACGTCCCTAAAAATTTATCGTCCCATCAAGGTTAGTGATTCACATTCTGTACGCTCATGACAGAAGAAATTTTACAATACTTAATGTTGAAAATTCTACAACTGATAAATTAGTGCCAGGAATAAAGTTCTTCTCCTATAGGATTCACCCTTCGAGTTAAAGTTGTGGATTCATTCAATACATGAGATGAACAGGGCTTTGCAATTTTTTGAAAATTAATAAGATAAATTTTCCAGTCAAGTAATTTTGACATTTTTGATAATTTTCAAAGATAAAATCAAGACTGAGGGCAATCTTCTTATGATTGCCCAGCACATTTTTCCTAGGACCTGTATTAAAAGTATTGATTCTTTGAAACCAAAATTGATTTTTTTAAAAAAAAAATTGTAATAAAAAATTGAACGTAATATTAACCAAACATAAAATTAAATGTGTAGGTAATGAAAAACTAACTCAACATGTAAGTTCCTTCAAAAAATTTTCTATTCTCTTTAATTTTTTTTATAAATTATTATTTTAAGTAACGAAGGAAATTTTTTTTCCTTCATATCTCGCACAAGTTAGCGAGTATTAATGTGAGAATTAATGATCATTGTCAGAAATTAAGATGGAAAATGCTTTTTTTCATTTTCTCGAGAGTGATTTCACCCGTCTGATTACTCGACATAATGGTTTTGAGTAATAAGACTGAAAAATTTTGAATTTAAATGAATGTTTTATTTTCCCTGAAGTTTCAAAAAACATATGGTTTGGAAAAGAACTCTCCCTTTTTATTTACTTTTCTGCTGAGTCAAATAGATATGCACGGATCCACAACTTATCTGTGTTTATCTCATCACAATTTTCTCTTCAAAATTTCACTTGTCAGATTAGCTATTGCCATGATAAAAAAAAAAAAGTTGGGAAGAAAATTATTTTTTTCACTCTCTGTATGAACTTGCAACAGTTTAATTTTTTTTTTTACCAATGTGCTGAATTCTTACAGAGTTTTTACAGAATTTAGTTTGTTTTTTGTGCAATAATAATTTTTTTGGTAATATAAAATAATATTTTCATTGGCCGACATTACAGGAGAAAAATTTCCAAGAACGAAAAAATAATCCTAGAATAATTAAAAAATGATGCACAATTATATTGTATGCAATAGTGTTTATCTTAAAGACCATCTCGATGTATCAGATAGATCTGGTTGTAGGATTCAATTTTGCAGGCTTCAATTACGTGCAGAATTTTTCTGGAAAAAAGTTTTCTGGTTTTCTGCCAAATATTCCTAAGTTTTTTGTTCCCTGTTATTCTTCACGTTAAAAGAGTACATGTCCAGGTTTCTTTGTGTATTCACTCCTAGTGCAATATCGTATTGAATAGGAGATAAAAAGAGGTTTCAGCAAACTGAAGGAGTGCTATCTCTGTTTTTTCTAATAGGTAATCGAATCAGTAAATTGTTTTGTTTCAGCAATAAATTTGCCAAAGTTTGTTATGAATATTGTTTCATGATAGGTCTTTTCACCATTTGATCAGCTGTCACTCAACTTCTTTCCTCATGGAACTAGGTTTGTCACTCTCCTAAGTAATTGCAAGCACCAAAAGTTTGGTGATAGTTCTGGGGTCTTTTATTCACAGTTGGCCGTGTTTAAGCAAAAGAATTCTATTGACATTTAGAGATTTAAGAAATAATGTGTCTCTTAAAGGAATTGGATTTGAGGAGTGAGTTAAGAGTCTGACTAGGGCAGAATTTAATGCTCTAGTATTGCGAACGGCGGACCAACCTGCCAAAAGGCATGACAGTCCAGAAGAGATGGATTGTTTTTCCATAAGTCTAATATTACTGGCTCTGTTTTTGAATCTATTGACATACTAGTTAATCACAAACAACGTAAATAAATACTCACTTGTGTGTCAATAGTGAAGAGTCACGTTGAGGATGTCCGAGCTGTCTAAATGCGTTTACAATATCAATTATCCATGTGCACAAGCGAGTATTTATTTTTGTTGTTCTCGAATTTTTCCTTCTGTTGTTATTTGTATTTGTTTTATTCGCTTAACAATTAATTTAGGCTAAAACATGAAAAAATCAGTAACTGAAACAGTTCAATATCATCCTAGAACTCATTCCCTGAGGTTGAAAGTCGGTTTACGAAGAATTCGTAACAGATTCTTTAAGAAAACCGGAAACAAAATATCTATTGCTTTTAAAATGACAAGTTATTGCTGTCAAAATCACTGAGCCAAAATCAGGAAAATTTGTGGTTCTTCAATGCTCAACTTTACAGTAATACAATTATACAATAAAGAAGTAATCAAGTATTGTACTGCTTGCTCTGAGGACAGTTACCGCATTAAGAAGTTTAGCAAAGCTCAGAAAAGTTGCCATCTATTGTAATATAAGACTGTTAACTGCTGCTGGCAAATTTTAGTTCAGAGAACTGACAATGGACTCTGTTCCATTCTAATAGTTACATATTCTCAGCAGTTCTTGTACCTTTGAAGTTTGAGGCCATTTACATTTAGGAATGCGTATACGAAGAGTTATACGATAAATTATCATTTTTTTGTTTCGATTGTTGACTTGTGTGGGTTCGGGTTTTTTTGGGTATGGTGCTCTAAAAGATTGAACTGATGCTCTTTCCTATCCTGCTGTGCTAAGGCAAAACGCTGTATGAACCTTCAGGCGTTGCCAAATTTCCATTTATAAAATACGAATTTCCTGGTAAACCTTTGAATATTTTTCTTTCAAATTTTCAGATAATGTTGCTTGCAATATCACCTGAAGTTACTGAACATTTCAAGGAAAAATATTCATAACTTTCCTCAAATTAACCATTTTATTGAAGGAAATTTGGAACTCTCGAATAATCATACGGCGTTTTTCCTTAGCACGGAAGTATCTAAGATTGAATAATTCAAATCATGGAACTTCTGAATTTTCCGTCAAAACTTCGGCTACCATCGCGGAGAAGGAAAAAGGCAGCGCTGGGTATTTCGGACATCATGAGAAGAAAAATCTTCAACTGTTTCCACCATTTTTTTTCTTTCTACGTTCAGAATATTGAAGATTAATGAGAATGATAAGATATATTTGTTTTTGCTGTAATATCTGTAACATGCCTCAAAATAATCAAAGGTTGCGCCATTTTTCCATGACCAATGAGAAAACTGGTGGGAAAAATTATGATGGGAACCTTGCAAAGATTTTAATAACAATTCTGAAGTCTGACCTAAGTACTTTTTGATTGTTCCTCAACTAAATATTGTGGCAGTTTTGCAATGTTGCGCAGTAAAATTTCCGCAAAAATGAGTCCTACCTGCTAACACTCAGTAATGGACCACTAAACAAGGTATAATTTTAAGTGTTCTCAACTGTGTTTTCTCTTTAAAGACTTGTGTAGAATGTGCTTTGTGGAGGAAACGATCACATTACTGAAACTAACTCCTTACTAAGATTTCAACGTTTTCATTTAGCACTGGTTATGAAAAATTTGTAGTTTTCGCTTACAAGAAAAACCAAAGTCTACACAAGGATTCTTAATCGAGCGGAGTTCCTTCCCAGCTCTGTATTGTTCAATGTATATTATATAAGCAATGTGCAACAGTTGAGCCGAAGTACTGTTATTGAGGAGGCCATATTTTCATACCCCAGAAACCATTTAAGTGGTGACATTCAGTAAGCAATTTACCTTACGTTGATTACGTTTTTTTTAATGAGACAGAAGTTTGAATTTCTGCATCAAAAAACTTTAAAATCTTGGCGAGGAGTTTTTCCGTAATCTCCGCTGCACAAATCATGTTCTTTGACGAAATTATAATGAGAGAACGCACATCATAATGCTCAAATTCCCAGCTTGTCTGGTCCAATCTTTAACAAAATAGCAACATTGTCCACTGTAGTCCGACTATTTATTTCGCCAACAAGATGACACTACTTTAGAGCAATAACTCAACAGAAATTTCATATTAAAACAATTTGTCGGGTCATAAACCTTCAAGAGCCAATATGCAAAGTACCCCATGAAGCTACCTGGATTGAGCTTCAGTTTGATCATCAAATAAGGGTTATTGAATTTTTAATAATTTGTAAACCATGAATTCAACCAAAGATATTCAAAAGTAAACAGGCTTTTCATGTAAGTGCATTTCACCACGAGAAGTATCCAGTTTCACTCCGACTTCTGAAGGTACCCTTTTATGAAATAGTCTGATAGATTCAAAATATTGTTTTTATTTCGTCAAAGGCGCAAAATAGTAGAGTTAGTAATGTTAAATTGATGGACAAAGGAACACTGTAGATAGGAACATAATTTAATTCATCCCCATCCTCTTTTTTTTACTTATGTTTTTAACATTTAACTTAAATTATTTTACTGGACCAGTCTCCAACTTGAATGTCTTTGATTTAGTTACGAAGTCCATCTTCATGAGTCTTAGCTAGTACAGTCAGTACTCCCTGTCCACATTCTACGGCTATGCCCATTATAACAAAAAATTCTCACTATCAGTAACAAAAAAATAATTTGGTCCCTTGAACTTCCTATGTTCATTGAGTAACGCTTATTTAATGGAAATTTCTCTACAGGGTGAGCGAAAAGTCCCCGACCCCCCCTCTAACTTTGGAACGAATTGAGCTAAGGAAATGAAACTTTGGGAATGTTCCTATCTTAAAGGGGACCATCTTTTGAGGGGGTCAAAATTTTGGTCCCCCCCTCAGGGGGGGACAGGGGCCCCCCAACTTTTTTTTCTCAAATAGCAACCCCTATCTTGTGATACCTCATTCGAAAGAGCATAAAAAACTAAGAATTTTGGCGCAAACCGCAGATCAATATCTCAATTTTTGACCGAGTTATGATAGGTCAAAGGTCAAATTTGACCTATTTTCAAAAAATCATAACTCCGGTTCAAATTATCGTAAAGAAAAAAATAAAACGGGAAAATTTACCAAATTGTGTTCGCTTTTACGTAAAAATTTCAGAAATCACTTCGATTTAATTTTAAGGGGGGGCTCGGACCCCCAAATACGTCAATTCAAAGGTCGTTCAATTTTCCCGCGAAATAAGCCAATTTCCTCTGGATTTGCCTCCACATTATCTCAGTAAGGTCAAAATCAGTTCAACATTACGTTGGCAAGTCCCCACATTTCGGGAAAAGTTAAAAGAAAATTATTTTTTAGTTTTTTATGCTCTTTCGAATGAGGTATCACAAGATAGGGGTTGCTATTTGAGAAAAAAAAGTTGGGGGGCCCCTGTCCCCCCCTGAGGGGGGGACCAAAATTTTGACCCCCTCAAAAGATGGTCCCCTTTAAGATAGGAACATTCCCAAAGTTTCATTTCCTTAGCTCAATTCGTTCCAAAGTTAGAGGGGGGGGTCGGGGACTTTTCGCTCACCCTGTATAATTGAAAATCATTTGATCTGTTGCGAATTTGTTATGTAGAGAGAGAGTACTGTATACTACAACGATCTGTAATTCAGACCCTACTTGACCCTGAAAAGGGTAATTTTTACAACAGTAGCTAGTATTGTTGAAACTGTTAAGTATTATTTTTCAGGGGTTATAGCGGCTAAAGATAGTATTTTGTTAATAAACTCGAGTATTTTCAGCAAAGTTATCACCTTAACTATATTATATTTGAAGACATTTATGAACAAGCAACTGAAAATAATTAAGTTCTGACTTGAAACTAAGAGACAATATCTTAGATTTTTTGTAGAAAATTCAGGAATTATATCAAGAAATTGAGATAACCCTAAAACCTCTGAATTTCATATTTTCAAAAGGCTCCATTCAGAGAAATTTTGCCTGAACTAGTGTTATAAATCTTTTTTTACCAAATATTAGTCAAATTTCTGAATATCCATCTGTGCAGAACTTAGGAGATTTTCATGAAACACCAGGGAATTTCAAAAATAAATTAATGAATTAAAAAAAAAACCCTGAGATCAGCAGTACCAATTAAACTTTTGCATGAGTCTGTCTTGGAAAACAAATTTTAAAATGAATGTACTTACTGCTTTTGCCACTGAAAAATTCTAGAGATAGAGAATTATAGTTCTTGAAGAAAACCGTAAGTCATCTGAGTGATATTAAGCCTGTAAAGCTAATTTTACTCAAGCATAATATGTCCTGTCTGCCTCATATGTTTATCAACTCTTTTACTCACATCATTTTTACTTACTTTTATTAAAACACTTTTTTACTCGAATAAGTTTTTACTCTTTCGTAATTTCATCCCTCTCAATACTGTTGCTATTAACGAATGATACCTTTTTGTAACAAAGTATTTTTTACAATAAACTAATTTATTTCCATTCTTGTCTTTCTGTTTAATCTCCTTATCTAATGAACCATAAGACAAGGTGCGAATACAAGCATCATATAATATTTGTTTTCTCATTAAAATGTCACACAGAACACGATTTTTGGAAAAAAAAATGATTGAAAGTAACTCCTAACCAAGATATTAGCGTTTTTTTTATTTCTAAAAGAGAACTTTCCGCTCTCCAAAAAATCATAACGAAGACTAATGAACATTACCGCCTATCTGCCTTCTGCCACCCGACGATTTTGCAGAACGAAGAGAAAACTTTGCCATTCTTGTAATTTTAAGGATGGATTTGCAATATTTCCATACATCACAGCGTCATTGAAGTGCTCCCCTACAGAATTGGAAAAAAACTGAAATCATTGGCTTACATATTTTATACTGTAGAATGCGGCAAAAGCGGTAAATTGTTTTTGCCAAAATTGTCAGTTTATGCTGTATTGTTGGTTAGCCCTCAATAAGCTCCCTGAATTAAATTGCACTCCAAATGTTGCTACAATAGTGCCGATATAAATTTCAACAATCAGGCTGCAGGGTGAGGAATAGTCGAGGAGCTCGCCAAAATCGTTGTAGTGCGAGATTTTATTCTCGTGGGTCAAGTCAAGTTTTTTTAAATTGGTGGTCCTAATGAATCAGATACTTACAAGATGAAAAAGTTGATTTTCACCCCCGAAATTTGGAGAGAAATTTGTTGCTTCCTGGAGAAAATAAGGAAAAATCCTGGGTTTTCGTCAGGAAATTTTTCCTTAGAAATTAAGAAAAATCAGTGAGTAAAAATATGAAGAATATGCGTGTGAGTTCGTACTAAAGTAGCGGGCAATTATTTTAAAGTTTGGCGGGTTCTTTGGTCCCGTTTCCGGAACTGAACCATGGACCAAGAGAATAAATAAGGACTCCCAACTCCCTATGGCTAACCTGTGTTAAAAACCGTTAACGCGCGCTCGCAGCGAACCTGGCAGAGGGTGCGGTGAACTAACGCCACAGCGGTCCACGATCGTACCTCTATAGTATGTTATTCCATGCAATGTTCTTTGTTTATCTATGATTTATTTATTTGTGTAGATACTTTAATACATTTTATTTTCGCAAACTAATGAAATTGTATAGATACATACCTTCTGCAGAGGTCAATGCGAAAGACTTTGATTTGAAGTATCTTATCAAAACACGAGCAAAGATGATTCAGTCAACTTCTGACGCAGAATCAAAGAGACTTGCTAATAATCAAATTAAAGGTAATGCTTGAAGTCAAGTATCTTTGATTTTGTGACACTCAGTTGATTTTTATCAGTATAACACTATTTCTCACTAAAAAGATTTCACTTAACAGAGAGGCGCCTTCGGCTAAAAGTACAATCCTGATTCCTGCTGCACACTACATACACACTTCCTTTGGCTTTCTCAACAGCAGTTGCTGCTGAGTAAAACGGTTAGAAATAACACTTCACATTAATACCAGTTTATGTACACGAAGACTGACGAAGATTGAAATGAAAATGGGAAACTTTTCACACTAAACTCTTCAAAACTGCAGGGCGACCACGAGGATACGAGGATCTAGAAACTTCTATGAGCACTACTGAATGATAAGCCTAAATAGGTGGTGCATGGAAATATAAACAGGAAAACCCAATCATCGGTTTAGTTCACTACACCCTCTGCCAGGGAGCGCTGATGTCAGCGCTAACCGGAGTTGGGGGTCCTTATTTATTCTCTTGGTCCATGACTGAACCGGAAACGACCAAACTACCCAACTAACCTACAAACAAAAAACAAACTGAGACTGAGAAGTGAGACTGACCCATGTTTATTTCCACGTTAACATCGTAAGTTTATCAAGGATCTAATTTTTTTCCCATCAATTTCTACTTCGAATGGATGACAACTGAAATTGAAAAGTCTACTTAAGTACTTCTTATTGAACCAGGAAGATTGCCGTGCTCAGGCCGGCAGTATCGTTTCTTCTCTGCTGAGCTCCAGCGCTCCATCGACTTGGATTTGACATTCATACCTACAGTAAGCTAACTATTTACTCTTTCTCTGCTGAGTAACTATAGATATTTTTAATCATTAGTGATTTTTCTCCCTCAGTTGAGCCAGAGTTGAAGATGCTTTTGGTACATATCTCTGCATCACTAACTCACGAGGAACACACTTTTGCTTGAGGTTAAAGCATTGCCTACAAGAAGGGAGAGGCTGTAACTAGTCAGTTTTGTGACGCTAAGCTAGTAGATATTTACCGAAAACAACAAGCATTTCTGGGCCATCGGTGCATCGATGAGTGAGGCAGTCGCCGCGTGGACTAATCAGAATGGCCTTCGATCGTCCGAAGGTGCATGAGCGGCGCATTTGAATCTGAGGGGTAAAGATTTTCAGTATTACGCTTTCATTTCCCCAATAATTAGACAATGTTACGTATGCGTTAGTTAGTTTTCTGAAGTGAAATTTCATCCTCTTTCTGGTTACTATGAATTTTTACATCAGATCAACCCCTGAGAAGATATTGGCACGATAGAAACGCGCGTCAGGCGTTCTCCCATAAGAACACATGTTTAACCGCGGTCGAGTTTCATCTACAAGCATGACGTCACAGGAACGTTGGTTCCTGTGACGTCATGCTTGTAGATGTTGCTTGTTGATAGTTACGGCCTCTCCATTCTCGTAAGCAACGGATAAAGGACTGCGGCCGGTTCCCGATAACTTATGGAACATGAAAATGGGGAACAGAAGTGGGACGGGCAGGGTGTCTACCAGTCCGAAAATTTTGGAAAAAGTACGCATTTCTAAGGTTGGTCTGTAAGTACCTTAAAAGTACGTAAATTTCGCGGAAGTTCTGTAATGTTTCGCATTTTGTGCTGCGCGTTCAGTTCGATTGCCTGATAGTTATGCTACCCCCTGTGCATTGGCCATCAGGCGTATTCATCCAATGTCAGATTGTAAGAGCGCGGTTGTTGTAGAGGAGCGGAGCAAGGCATTTCCCTCGATTTGACGGAAACAGCCGAAAAGGCCACGATAATAGCTGAAGTAAAGTGCGTGGCAGTGCCAAAATCGAAGAATTGCGATACGTTGGGAAAAGGTACTTAACAAGTACTTAATATTTCCCCAAGGCGAGGTACTTAAATCTTGCCTTAAGTACCTAAAAAGCACTTATTTTATTTTCGTGGACCTCAGTAGACACCCTGGACGGGATGATAGGGGGTGAGAAAACGTTGAAGGAAGGAGAGGAAATGGCTAGAGAAGATCAGAGGGACCATGCAGGGGTAGTAATTCATTACCTTCCGGCCAAAGTACCACAAGCGCCATGCGATGTTTCAAAATTTCCGCTGCTGCCAATTTATTTTTTTACTTAGAAATTGCTCACCGAAGCTGTCCGAAAATTTCACTGAATTTTCTTTGTGCTGCCGATAAAATTCAGTGTAGTTTTCAAACGGATTCAACCAAAAATTTCTCAGTATAAAAATAAAATGGCAGCGGAAATTTTCAAACGTCGCATGGCCCTTGTGATACTTTGGCTGGAAGGTGACGAATTGTTCCAGGCCTCCGCAATTTTTGTAATGCGCTGAGTTTGCCAATAAGTTCAACATAACAAGCTGATCACAATTTCGTTCAATTTCTGGACGTGTGCCAAAGTTATTTTAAGAGTTGAAAATCTGAAAACCTGCAAACAAAGAAAAAAACCCTCAGCCTCTACAATTTTAAGGGCCTCTCCACAAATTGTTTGCAACCGTGCGGTTAAGAACAAATCGCACCCCTGGTATCAAGTCTTTTCATTGGTATCGCGAGACCAATACCCCTAGATGACTCTGTTATTTAGACAGCGGTGCCAATCTACAAATGAGATCTCTATTGTTATGATTATTTACTGCTTGAGCCGCCCAATGTTCTTTACTTTTGGCATTGTTTTTGTAGCGTTAATTATGTTTGTGTAACATGTATCATTTTGAATGATAAAGCTACCTATCTTTCTAGGTAGAAAGATGAAAAACCTGGGGAAGTGAGCGCATGTATGGAAGACAAGAAGAAAAAAAGCCAAGGATACTCTGAGGTCACCTAATAGGTAAGGAACTACTCACTCATCCTATCTCATTCATCCTCCAGTATCGATTAGCCAGTTACCATTTTACTGTGCGTTTTTTGTTTCTATTTCTTCGCCAGAATAACGGGAAACTACCTATACTCATCTCTGATGAAGTCCTTTGCTGTATCACAACCTCATACCCTGGACCAGGTGGTGTACCATTTCGTCTCTGATTGGCAAATTCATGATACTGAGGAGCCTTCGTTAGCTGCATTGATGAAGTAAACTTGCCGTATACTTTTCGAAGGTCAACGTAGGTAATCAAATGAGAAAAGTCCATGTGGAACTTATGCTGAAAGGTCAGGGAAAGTCACAGAATTTGGAAATTTTTGAGTCTGAAAAAAGCATAAAAGTTACGGAATCAGCAAATGAAGAAATCATGGAAACCCTGATAATAAATATCTCCTCTAGCACTCTCACTGACCAATTGAGTAAGCTCAGACTATTATTGATTACCCACTTGAAGACTTCAATTTGATCATGATGAGACAGCTTCCAGCACTGGCCACTTGACAGCAAAAACTGGAATGAGGTGCTTCTTACTTTTTTTTCACTTTTTTATTTTCACCTGAAAATTCGCCTGAAAGCTGAAAAAAGTTTCACCAGAATGCACCACAAACAATTTTTACAAATCGCTTGTTTAACCAAAATTTCAATCACTGTTTCAGAACTTGAGGATTTTAAAAGCAAGTCATACATGCAATCGTAGCTGTTAACGGAATACTCAGCAATTTCTCCCATTACCAAGGTTAAAACGGAGGATATCTGTGATCCAAATTCAAGCATTAGCTGAGGAATCAGCCAGCAGGTGGGTCCAAAAATAATGGAATCAACTAATTGTAGTTCAAAAGTAGTTGATACCACAAACGACATCGGAAGAAACTTTCCATTGGATCAAATTGTGCCAGTTGTGAAACGAGAGCCAATAGATGAAACATTCAAGAAGGAATATATTTTGAATTCAGCTGAAGAGGATGCGTCAACTGACCTACTCGCTCAGGTCAAAATAAAAAATGAGACTGCTCATGAAATAACGGGTGAATTAGTAGGCTTCTTACCAAATAATCTGAGTTGCGACCAGCTTCAATTGAAAGGAGGTGCAAAAATTGAATTATTTCAAGCAAGCAGCGCAGATGAGCAGTGTTTTAGCAATAGCTTTCAAAGTCATGCCTATGAATCTCTAAAAGTTGAGCCCAGAGATTTTTCGGAAACGCAAAATACCAGGTGTGATATTGAGTTCAAGCCTCGGCCAGAAACCTCCCACAACTCTTTTCCTCCCATGTTACGAAAGGTAACTGTAAGTCTAGTCGATGTTTTCTCTGATGAGGCTCGAAAGCGTGGGGAAGTGCATCTGAACAATCAGTCCTGTTCGTGTGTATTTTGTCGGAATGTTTATAAGGACCAATCCAATTCCCATTTACTTGCCATGAATTTTAATAACCCTGCTGTACATAATATTTCAAATTTTAAACTAAAAGATGTAAATAAGTCAGGAGATAGGTCAACCATGAAAAAAAAAATATTATTCAGGTGTGCTGTTTGTCCTGTGCGATGCAAAAATTTGTCCAGCTGGAAGGCACATTGGGTTGTGCATTGGGGAAACTACAAATGCTTTTTGTGCAAAGTGAGGTGTAAATCTGAAAAGAAGTTTGAGAATCATATGAGTGATGCACACAGCATTGAAAAAGCTTACAGATGCAGTATTTGCTCCAAATCATTTAGACAATTAAATTGTTTACTCCAACACTTTAAGGTGCATATTGAAGACCGCCCATTCAATTGTGATCTTTGCTCCAAGGCGTTCAAATTTCATCAGCATTTAACCTTACACAAGGAGAATATTCATTTGAAAGTCAAACCATATTCCTGTGACCTCTGCACAGCAAAATTTAGTACGAAGCCAACACTGTCAGATCATATGAGATCAGTGCACAGCAATAAAAGACCGTTCGAGTGTAAAGTTTGCTGTAAATCATTCAAACTGAAATCACATTTAGTGAAACACAGCAGAATGCACAGCTCTGAAAAGCCTTTTAAATGTAAGTTATGTCCAGCGACATTCAGATACCCGCAAAGTGCAAAAGAACATCTACGTGTACATTCTGATGAAAGACCATACCATTGCAGTATTTGTCCCAAGTCTTTTAGGTATTCCAGTCATTTATTAGTGCATGAGAGAAGGCACACAAAGAACAGAATTTTCATCTGTGATTTGTGCAAAGCCAAGTTTAAAACAAGGGATACTATCTGCCATCACATAAGAGTTGTTCATTTAGGGGAGAAACCAGCGAAGTGCAATTTATGTCCTTACGAAACTATAACTACTTCATGTTTAAAGAAACACATGGCAGTCCATGAAGAAACAAGGCCATTTAAATGTACTTTATGTTCTGCAAAATTTGCAGATAGCGGATACCTAAAAATTCACTTGAAAACTATTCATAGTGGAAGATCGTTTGATTGTGAGATTTGTCGCATGAAATTTTCTCGCAAGAGGTCCTTGACTCTGCATCGTAATGTGCACAAAGAGGAAGGACAATTCAAGTGCGATTTTTGCTGCACTGAATTTTCCAAATCAGTGGACTTGACAAAGCACATGGACGGGCATGATGCGGGTGAGAAATTCTTCTGCGCCCATTGCCCTTTTGCTTTCAAATACAAAAAGAAAATAATTACTCATTTGAAAATACACTCTAAATAGAACCCTAAATTCTTTTTATTTTTGGTAAAGAGTGTTTTGCTTTAAATGCAGGAAGAATCAATTTAACAGGATGCAGTGCTTCTGGTATACTAGGTATTGATTTGCTGCAGGTAGCTGTCTTTTAAGTGTCATTGGTAGCTTCACTTGTATCAGAATTCATTATCATTTCTTGGTGCTTATTCGAAATTTTGTCCTCAAAAGTCATACAGGAAAAGTATGCTCTTCAGGCGATGTGCATGTAGAATTTCATAAAAAATCAGTATTGGGCCACCATATCTCACAGAAAATCTTACATATCCGCAGATTACGAATTCGAACAATAAAAACCAATTCCAAACCGAAATGCCTGGCTTTATTGAGAGTCAATCCAAATCTCTGCCGACATATTGTATCTATAATTAGTTCAAAAATAATAAGAATTGCATGAAACACTGGGTCAACTGTTTCAGGGCTGAAAAAAATGTTGAGGAGTCTTGTGCAATGAACCATGGCTGACGAACAAATGACATTTCCAGTCGTTTTAATCGAGAGACTCGCTGCAAATGAGAAATACTCTGTGGCTGAAAATGATACGCCAAAGATGCCACCAGTTGAATGTAAGTCCCAAGATATAAGTCCCTCTCAAGAAGTCATTAAAAGGGAATTTTCTGCCCAAATTGTGCCTGTTATAAAGCAAGAGCCTTGTTATGAATTTGAAGGAGGTACTTCTTCGCACTTAGATATCTCTATTAATCTTGTCGGATTTAATGTAAAAAATGAGATTAAACCGGAAGTAACCGCTGAACTAGTAGGCAGTTTCCCCCTAAGTTTAAGCAGCAATCAGCCACAGTATCAGGAGACATTGAAAATCGAAAACAGGTCTGAGCAAAGTGAAATTGAATACCATTCCAACAACAGCTCTGAAAATTGTAGCAGAATATCTCCAAGAATCTTGGAACACCATGAAGTGGAGAATACAAAATGTAATGATGATACCATGACCCTCTCTTCCTTCATATCAAATGTCACTGTAAAGCTTGTGGATATGTTTTCTGATGAGGCTCGGAAGCGTGGTGAGGTACACTCCAGCAACAGTTTTTGCTCGTGTATTTTTTGTCGCAGAGTATACATGGACACATCAAATGCTCATTTACTCTCTATGAATTTAAAAAATGCCTCAGAACATGGTCCTCCAAAATCCCAACAGAAACTTGCAAATCATTCTGGCCAAAGATTATCAAATAAAAAAAAAAAATTATTCAGGTGTGCTGTTTGTCAAGTGCAGTGCAAAAATATCTCCAGCTGGAAGGCACACTGGGTCGTGCATAAGGGAAACTACAAATGCTTTTTGTGCAAAGTGAGGTGTGAATCTGAAAAGAAGTTTGAGAATCATATGAGGGATGCACACAGCATTGGAAAAGCGTACAAATGCAGTATTTGCTCCAAATCATTTAGGCTATTAAGTTGTTTACTCCAGCACTTTAAGGTGCATATTGAAGATCGCCCATTCAAGTGTGATCTTTGCTCCATGGCATTCAAAATTCATCAGCATTTAACCGTACACAAGGAGAATATTCATTTGAAAGCTAAACCATATTCCTGTGACCTCTGCACAGCAAAATTCAGTACGAAGCCAATACTCTCCGATCATATGAGATCAGTGCACAGCAATAAAAGACCGTTTGAGTGTAAAGTTTGCTGTAAATCATTCAAACTGAAGTCACATTTAGTGAAACATAGCAAAATGCACAGCTCTGAAAAGCCTTTTAAATGTGAGTTATGTCCAGCGACATTCAGATACCGGCAAAGTGCGAAAGAACATCTACGTGTACATTCTAACGAAAAACCATACCTTTGCAGTATTTGTCCCAAGTCTTTTAGGTATTCGAGTCAGTTATCAGTGCATGAGAAAAGGCACTCAAAAAAAAGAGCTTTTGTCTGTGATTTGTGCAAAACAAAGTTTAAAACAAGGGAAACCATCAGCAAGCACATAAGAATAGTTCATTTAGGGGAGAAACCAGTGAAGTGCAATTTATGTCCCTACAAAACTATAAATACTTCATCTTTAAAGAAACACATGGCAGTCCATGAAGAAACAAGGCCATTTAAATGTACTTTATGTTCTGCAAAATTTGCAGTAAGCCTATACCTAAAAATTCACTTGAAAACTATTCACAGTGGAAGATCGTTTGATTGTGAGATTTGTCACATGAAATTTCCTCGCAAGAGGTCCTTAACGCTGCATCGTAATGTGCACAAAGAGGAAAGACAATTTAAGTGCGATTTATGCTGCACTGAATTTTCCAAGTCAGTGGACTTGACAAAACACATGGACGGGCATGATGCGGGTGGGAAATTCTTCTGCGCCCATTGCCCTTCCGCTTTCAAATACAAAAAGAAAATAATTACTCATTTGAAAATACACTCTAAATAGAACCCTAAATTCTTTTTATTTTTGGTAAAGAGTGTTTCGTTTTAAATGCAGCGAGAATCAATTTAACAGGATGCAGTGCCTCTGGTATACCAGGTATTGATTTGCAGCGGGCAGCTGTCTTTTAAGTGTCATTGGTTGCTTCACTTGTATTAGAATTCATTATCATTTCTTGGTACTCACCCGAAATTTTCGCCTCAAAGGTCAAAGATGAAAAATATGTTCTTCAGGAGATGTGAATTAGAATTTCATGAAAAATCGATACGAAGACACCACATCCCATGGAAAATCCTGCATATTAGCAGATAACAAATCCGAACACTAAACACCGATCCCGAATCTCAAATTATCGTAAAATTACACAAAATTAAAAATATTAGTGATGAAACGAATTTTTAGAAGGAACTCAAGCACCTGAAGCAAGCACTCTTTTTTAAGTCCTTGGAATAGTCAAGTCAAAAATCAGTTGAATCGTAAAACATCACAGCTGTTTGAAAACCCGCTGGCATGTAAAAGTTCACTAATCTTGGTGGCACTACAGCAGGGACATAGATGGGATATTAGGTACACGTAGCTGGTTATACAGCAAGTATCAGCTCATAAGAAAAGGCACCGAAAACATGGACTTTTCATTCCATTACTGATTTGCAAAATGGCATTTAAACCTAGATAATATATCAGCAAACATGTTAGGAGTGCACACTTGAGAAAGAAACCTAATAAGTACAAATGATGACCTTTTTCAACGCATTAAACGATAATGTCCAATAAACAAATAAACCCATGGACATGGTCCTGGTAAGAAATTTTGTGGCCTCCGTCTTTTCAGTCTACACTGAAACGTAATATCTGGCAACATTGCCCTTAAGCGCAGAAGGGCCTCGCATCATCGAAAGTCAATGTAAAGTCAATTTGAACACTAAAAAACGATTCCAAACCAAAATGCCTGGCATTATTGAGAGTCAATCTAAATCTATTCCAACATATTATGTCTATAATTAGTTCATAACTGATGAGAATTGTATGAAACACTGGGTCAACTGTTTCAGGGCAGAAAGAAATGTCAAAGAGTCTTGTGCAATGAATCATGGTTGACAAAGAAATGACATCTCCAGTCGTCTTAGTCCAGAAACTCACAGCAAAAGAGAAATACTCTTCGCCTACAAATGTTACTTCAAAGATGCCTCCAGTTAAATATAAGTCCAATGATGTAAGTCCCTTTCACAAAGTCATTAAAAGGGAATTTTCTGTCCAAATTGTGCCTGTTATAAAGCAAGAGCCTTGTTATGAATTTGAAGGAGGTACTTCTTCGCACTTAAATATCTCTATTAATCTTGTCGGAGTTAATGTAAAAAATGAGATTAAACCGGAAGTAACCGCTGAACTAGTAGGCAGTTTCCCCCTAAGTTTAAGCAGCAATCAGCCACAGTATCAGGAGACATTGAAAATCGAAAACAGGTCTGAGCAAGGTGAAATTGAGTACCATTCCAAAAACAGCTCTGAAAATTGTAGCAGAATATCTCCAAGAATCTTGGAACACCATGAAGTGGAGAATACAAAATGTAATGATGATACCATGACCCTCTCTTCCTTCATATCAAATGTCACTGTAAAGCTTGTGGATATGTTTTCTGATGAGGCTCGGAAGCGTGGTGAGGTACACTCCAGCAACAGTTTTTGCTCGTGTATTTTTTGTCGCAGAGTATACATGGACACATCGAATGCTCATTTACTCTCTATGAATTTAAAAAATGCCTCAGCACTTGGTCCTCCAAAACCCCAACAGAAACTTACAAATCCTTCTAGCCGAAGATTATCAAATAAAAAAAAAATATTATTCAGGTGTGCTGTTTGTCCTGTGCGATGCAAAAATTTGTCCAGCTGGAAGGCACATTGGGTTGTGCATTGGGGAAACTACAAATGCTTTTTGTGCAAAGTGAGGTGTAAATCTGAAAAGAAGTTTGAGAATCATATGAGTGATGCACACAGCATTGAAAAAGCTTACAGATGCAGTATTTGCTCCAAATCATTTAGACAATTAAATTGTTTACTCCAACACTTTAAGGTGCATATTGAAGACCGCCCATTCAATTGTGATCTTTGCTCCAAGGCGTTCAAATTTCATCAGCATTTAACCTTACACAAGGAGAATATTCATTTGAAAGTCAAACCATATTCCTGTGACCTCTGCACAGCAAAATTTAGTACGAAGCCAACACTGTCAGATCATGTGAGATCAGTGCACAGCAATAAAAGACCGTTCGAGTGTAAAGTTTGCTGTAAATCATTCAAACTGAAATCACATTTAGTGAAACACAGCAGAATGCACAGCTCTGAAAAGCCTTTTAAATGTGAGTTATGTCCAGCGACATTCAGATACCGGCAAAGTGCGAAAGAACATCTACGTGTACATTCTGATGAAAGACCATACCATTGCAGTATTTGTCCTAAGTCTTTTAAGTATTCGAGTCATTTATCAGTACATGAGAGGAGGCACACAAAAAAAAGAGCTTTCGTCTGTGATTTGTGCAAAGCAAAGTTTAAAACAAGGGAAACCATCAGCCAACACATAAGAGTTGTTCATTTAGGGGAGAAACCAGCGAAGTGCAATTTATGTCCTTACGAAACTATAAGTACCTCATCTTTAAAGAAACTTATGGCAGTCCATGAAGAAAGTAGGCCATTCAAATGCTCATAATGATCTGCAAAATTTGCAGATAGCGGATACCTAAAAATTTACTTGAAAATTATGCAAAAAGATCAATAGATTATTATAAAAGATCATTTTAAAAAAATTAAAAATGTGCAATTTATGACCCTTCAAAACTGTATCTACTTCATGTTCAAGGTGATTCGATGGACGCCATATTTTGTATCAGAACGCCATGCGATATATCGCATCAATTGGTTCCATTTTTCCAGCTACTCATCATTTTTCTCAAAAATTGAGATCGCAATTCTGTTGTCAAGAGACTAAAGCACTCACTTACCAATTTTAATGAAGAAATTCAATGTAATGAAGGCGTGGTTTTTTTAGAGAGAAAACCTCGCATTCGAAGGCAGTTTTGATATCAGTATCGAATGCGATGTTTTCTTTCTAAAAAGACCACGCCTTTATTACGTTGAGTTTATTTGTTAAAATTGGTAAGTGAGTGCTTTAGTCTCCTGACAACAGAATTGCGATCTCAAAATTCGAGAAAAATGACAAGTAGCTGAAAAAATGGAACCAATTGATGCGATATATCGCATGCCGTTCTGACACAAATACGGTGTCCATCAAATCACCCTAAAGAAACACTTGATATCTCATGAAAAAACAAGGCTGTTTAATTGTTCTGTGCGAACTATGGAATTTTCCATAATGGGATGCTTGAAGACTCTTATGAAAATTACGCATAGTGAAGGATCGTTTGATTATAAGATTTGTCACACAAAATTCCCCAGCAAAAGGTCGTTGACTCTACATTGTAAATGGTACCAGGGGGAAAGATACATCAAGTGCGCTTTATGCTGCATTGAATTTTCCAAATCAGTAGACGTGACAAAGCACATGGATGGGCATGATGCGGGTGGGAAATTCCTCTGTGGCCATTACCCCTCTGCATTCAAATACAAAAGTAGAACGGTTAATTGGTTACACACTTAAAAATGCGCTGTGAGTAGAACCTTTTACTTGGAACTGTTTAGTTTTGAATGTTGTTCGAATTGACGTAAAAGATTTGATGTATCTGGTACGCTAAGTATTAATTCATCTGGGATGTTTCTATATCTGTTTACATTTTACTTTATCAAAAGGAAAGTAACCAACATCACAACCGAAGTTATGGGTTCATGTAGTTTTAGTGTCAATAAGCCAATCAATAACTTTGCAGGGTCCCTCTCTCAGTATTTATACAAAATGTCATTTTAGGTTCCATACTATGTTGAAGTATTTTCTCCTCATCAATCTATTTGTTGGCTTATTTCGAAGAAAGTGTCCATGAGAACGTGATTATAGAAATTTGTAATGGTAGATATTTTCTGTTTTTAATTTCTCACTGATTCAAGAATGATAAGTTGCCATAACAATTAATTTAATTTGCAGCGATCTTTTTTAATATTTTTATTAATTTCCGTGTCTCCTGAAAATAATTAAAACTAAGAAAAAATGTTCATTCAGTTTTACTCTCTAATATTTAAAGCGAAGATCAAGGCGTTTAAACCTTACCAACTCAGGAACTTATTCTGACTTGCCTTTTGTATCACATAAAATGTGTGCCAGTGCTCTGTGCTTAATGTTGGTCCATTGTCATGGAGCAAAAAATGACATAATCTGTCAGAATTGTTTGTTCTTAACTTGTGTAACTACTATGTAACTGTGTTTCACATTACCCGAAACCTTCTTACTTGTTTGTATATCTTTTTTTTTTTTTTTTTTTAATTGTAAGTATATAACAACTTACACCTTTAAATTTTCCATGAATTTATTCCAGCTTATGAAGAATTCTCACAAAAATTAAGGCTGAATATTGTTTTGTTTCCTGTTAAAGAAGTACAGTGTTTGAGAAGCCTTAAAATATCCTTGAATATCCTAAATGCTCTAAAGTGAACAGCCCTGTTTTGATCATGTAACGAAATTGGGTACAAGGAAATGTATCATGAATCGTTTAAGTAAAACGTCGTTAATTATTTAGTATCCAGTCCTGTAATGTAACAGTTCTGTGGGAAATACGAGCGACGAACTATATCTTGAATGATTTTCTTTAATTCTCACTCTGCTCAGTCATTTATTGTCTATTTTGGTCTTTTGGGAACTGACAAGTCCATCAAAAGAAGGGGCCTTTTGATCCGCCCAAAATGGATTTCTCCTGTTCCTTGTGACAAGTGACATTCCTAGTATTCAATTCACAAATGGACTACATTCTGCTATTAAGAACTATAAATTTCGACCCGCTTTAAAAACAACGTATGTGCGATTAGTTTCCCTATGCACAGAAGTGTTTTTTCAGATGAGTTAGAATTTATAGCTCCAAATTGCAAAATGCAGTCCAAATTTCTTGTACATTCATCTTGTGGTCTCATGTGTTCCATTCCTCTATCTCAGGTATACTTGTAATATTATTTATTTGTAATATTATTTATTTGTGGGTAATTAAAATATTTTTATATTTTCTGAAATCATCGAATGTAATGCATCCAAACAAAAGAAAATACAATGATTGCTGTGTATACATAGGCTTCTTTTGTCTGGTTGCATCAAGATATCTCCAAGCTTTTGTGAAATATTTTGTTAAAATTAATAAATTAAAATAAGTTAAAATTTATTAAAGCCTTCTGTAAACACTGCTAATGTGTGAAAATTAATTTAATGAATGAAATAAAATAATGAAGGAATCACTGTGAAGCACTTACTTAGTTTTTCACTCCCATTGGTGAGGCACCTGTTTATGTTTGCTTTTACCCCATGCTTAATCATGGTGACAAGTTGTTGAATAGTTAGGAAAAATATGGAAAAGTTAGTAAATTTAACTGTCAAATCTTCTATTTTCTTTTTCTATTTATTTATCTCATTATTCTTTGCCAAATATACAGACTGTATGTCCAAAAAGATAACAAAGAAGCAGTGTAACAATCAAACAAAAAGACCAAATTACAACAGCTCAAGTTAAAGAATATTTTAGAAAAAATAAAAAAAAAGGTTAAAAAATAAATTATTAAATAACAAAAAATGAATAAATGAATGCTAATGAATTAATGAAAATAAATAATGAATGTTAAAGAGAAAATAATTTTAAGAGAAAATTTCACCAGTAAGTAACATTTTTTTTTGAAAAAGTATTTACCTAAAAAGATTAATACAGGTAAATTTGGAAACTTCCTTTTTGAATCTAGCTGTTTTAGTATCCAGTATTAAAGTGATTGTTTAATCGTACTTGCGTAAGTAACATTAACATCTCGTTTACTTATCTACCAAACCAAATGTTTGTTGGGCACAAGTACTTCTGAGCACTACTTGGGTACTGTCTGCCGATGACATGCATTTTATGCAATTCCGGCTTTTCAAAATTTGTTTCATCGTCAATTTTAATTTTTTCTTCATAATTATTTATATTTGAATTTATGTCCTCTTTTGTACAGATGTAATGAAACTTGTTTGAATAAACCAAAAATAATAATAATAAAAAAAAAGAAAAAAAAATGCTTGTTAGGATTGACTCAAAGTAACTATCAAAAAGTCCGAGTTAGTTGAAAGAAACCAAGTAGCATCATCATCACCCAGGGAAAGAGAGGTTTGAAATCTAATTCCTCCATTAGACTCAGTGTTAGAGGTCCAATCCAATGCCCATTGTCTCATTCGACATATCGTCACCCTCCAGCCAATAAGTATCATAAGCGCCATGGGATGATTAAAAATTTCTGCCCCCATTTTATTTTTTCACAGAGAAATTGTTCAACGAAGCTGCCCGCAAATTTCACTGAATTTTCTTTGTGCTACCGATAAAATTCAGGGAAATTTTCGGACAGCTTTGGCGGAAATTTTTAAATGTCTCATGGCGCTTGTGATACTTTGGCCGGAAAGTGACGATATTTCGTCTCGTCGAATTTTTTACGGAGGAAAAAGGGCAGCTGCAATAGTTAAAGGTAAATATTTACCCAGTAAACCTCAATACAACTCCTATTTCATGTAATTTTCCAAAAATTTGAATTTATTTGACAATAATAACAAACTGAACAAATACATCAACACTATATTATATTTTCATTATATTGTATAATATTATAACCAATATTGAAAGGTGACTCGGTTCCTTTCTGTGTATGGAATTCTGTGTCAATTTTAACGGAAGGACATAGATTATCTAAGGGAGAGAAAAGCACATGAATAGGCAAATCTCACGATTTCAAATTTCCCGCTAAAACAATGTTTTCCACTCCGACCAATACCAAGACTTAGATTTCAAGAAAAAGGGCGTAGGGGAGGAGTTTCGGTAATGCCAACTATTTTTCATCGGAACCGAACGAATTCCATAAGCAACTTAATCTTCCATCGATTTAATTGACAGTACAAGACAAATTATAGTATGATTCTGTTTAAAATATTTCAAATTATGTCTTCATCGCTGTTTAATAAACAAGGCCGACTTTGAAAGTATTATTGGAAAAATTAATCATGCAGTTTCCAGTTCCAGTACAAGTTCGGGCGTTGGTTTTCTGGATTAGTTGGTTCACGCATCACGTGACGCTGCCGTCAGCTGACAGCTTGAAAGCTTCGACAGGCTCCGTGAAGTTTTGCAGTGATTTTCTCCCCTTAAATCGTCGAAAATGGCCCTCAATTCAGGTCTAAGTGCGAAACAAGATGCGCTCGAGCATGTAATGGCAGTATCGAGAGACTTTGTCTCTCAACCAAGATTGAGTAAGTACTTTATTCGCATCCGCCACCTTTTTTCATGAAGTTCCAATCGTGCTCTTATCAGACCTCAATGGGTGGGGTTAGTGGAGCCTCATTGATAATGTTTTTGTCCCAGTTAATTTCGTTGACCCTCCTTATTCACCCTTTATTCTTGCCAGTTACGATGAGATATTTTCTCCACTCTACGATGCATGACCCAATTCAAAAGGATCCTTCGATAAACGGCTTTGCCTTCCAAGACAGCCTAACCGCTGGAGAGGATCACCCGACATAAATTGCGCCCATGCCCCCTTTCGTTCGATGTTTGTGTACCGCTGAAACTACGTTCTAAGCCTTTTTCTGTCTCCAGTTCTATTGTTGTGTTCAACAGCACCTGTCCCATGCCCTTTCACATGCAGATTAATACTAAGCACAGCTGTGCAGGAAGTACCTGTCGCCAGAATAAGTGACAGAAATAGGTGGCACTGATCTAAACTCTGCCAACTATTTTCATGGTGCGAAGTATTATGTAACAGCACCTTTTGACAGGGCTCACATTGTCAATAGACTTGAGTCATTGCTCCTTGTCAGACTGTTTGAATCTTCTTGACGAAGTGATGACCCTGATAAACCGAAGAAGTCACTCTTGTTAGCTAGGAATATCAGCAATTGAAATCACCTTGTCAGAACACTATACTCACTTGCGCAATCTTTGTTTCAGCATACCGTACTGTTTCTGGTGTCAATGGACCGCTGGTCATTCTTGATGATGTCAAGTTCCCCAAGTATGCAGAAATTGTACAGCTGCGCTTGGCTGATGGCACACTTCGGTCTGGGCAAGTTCTGGAAGTCAGCAGTTCAAAAGCTGTTGTCCAGGTATGTTCCAACTCTACTATTTTGTTTATTTCCTTATTTTTGCAAGGATCCGCATAATTCACAATCTGATGAGAGGAGTCATCAAGAGAATACGGAGTCTCACAGCACAGGCTTGTAACGAAGCCATAAAAAAATTTAGAAAGGATTCTGAAGCCTCTCAAAATTTGTCATGTTATAACTGGTGTAAATTAAAAGTTGCTGAAGCTGATGTGAAGAACTTTAAAACAATCATTGAACCAAGGGAGATTTTCTGCGCAAGCTGTAGTCAGGTAATTAAAATTTCGAAATTTGTTTCTCACTTGCAACGTAATTTTATCAGGCCGATACGTTTCAAGCGGGCGGCTTAAAACGCATCGGCAGGATAAAAATTGCATTGCAAGTGAGTAATGAATTTACCCAATTTTTAATTTTGAATTACCTCACTGTTAAACTGAAAATATCTGTATAGATTTTCAAGCGATCTTTTAGTACAGTAAAACCTATGAAAAATTGCTTGTGATGCTTACAGGGTTACCGGCTGTCTGGAAAATCAGGAGAAGTCAGGGAATTTTTGACACAACTACTAATCTGACCTTCCGATTTTTTACCCATCTGGTCTTTTTAAGGCCTTCATCTTTTAACCTGTTACTGAACACTTTTATTTACTATCTGATCTTTAAGTAGGAAGTTTTGTCCAAAGTTTAGGGGAAAATAGCTTATTTTAAGAGATAAAAAAGAACCTAGAAATTCTGTTCGAAGATCAGAGAAAGTCAGGGAGTTGGAAAATTTCGGAGACAGGATAAAGCAAAAATGGTTAGGGAAAACTCAGGGATAGTCAGGGAATTCGAAAATAAATAAATTATGGTAACCCTGGCATAATCCTCAAGCAAAGTCTTTCATCCGCCCCTTCAACGCGGTCTTTCATTTTTGTTTTTGCAGGTCTTCGAAGGCACGTCAGGAATTGACGCTAAAAATACCCTTTGTGAGTTTACTGGTGACATTCTGAGGGCACCCGTGTCAGAAGACATGTTGGGTCGAGTTTTTAACGGAAGTGGAAAGCCCATCGACAAAGGACCCCCTATTCTTGCTGAGGATTACCTAGACATTGAAGGTATACTTTTTTTGTAGAAAGGATAAATATTTATGCCAGAGGAACTATGTGTATAGGGTTTGCAAGGTACCGAGCTCCTTTTGCTTTAATGCATTTATGAAAAGTATCTTTTGGCAGATTTACATCCACTATGTGGGGCTCCTGCCCTTGTGTGTTTCTTCCTTGATAGGAGCTTCAATGGGGATGACAGGAGTTCTTGAAAATACAAAAAACTTCAATGTTGAGCATTGAATTATTCTTGCCGTATGATTTTTCTCCACTGTTTTGGAATGTATGTTTTTATCAATTCCTGTTAAAAGTTTCATCATGAAAACATGCTAGTCGTTTATCCTGTAGAGGGGATTGTAGGGGACAAAATTGTAAAGTGAAGTAATTAATTTTATTTAAAGTATAAACAACGAACAAATTAACATAAACAACTACAAACTAAACTAAAAATAAATAAACACACCCACTAATGACATGGCCATTGTGTTGGGCGGAGTCTCTTTGTGGTTTTTTCAAGATTTCCAATTCAGAATTCCTGTCCCCCTTATTTTTATGTCCTTTTTACTCTCTTTGCCCTCGCTTTGCTCTTCCCTTCTGTATATTTTCCGATAATTTTACCTTTGTTTTTCCCCTGATCACGTTAATTTTAGATTTTGATTTTGACAATAGCTATTTCGATCTGGACGAGATCATCATCAGTATATTTTCTTGCATCTGAACTTCAACCGGACGGGTTTTTAGGCTACTTAAGTAAAGTAAAGTACTGTAGTAGATACAAAGAATTTGTGAGCTTTGGCCTAAGCATCAAGTAACTGAAGTAGAGGAAGAGGGAGAGAGCGTGGTACATGGTCATGTTGATTAAGACGGAATAGAGTCAGCCAGATGATATAGGCTAGAGGTTAATTTCAGAGGAGCAATGACTTATCAGACTGAATTGCTGGATAATACCTTCAAACCAACTGTGCAGCAAATGAGTCAACGGTAGACTCTATATTAATATTTTGGAAACTTTTCCAGGTCAACCCATCAACCCATGGTCGAGAACATACCCCCAAGAAATGATTCAAACTGGTATCTCTGCAATTGACGTCATGAATTCCATTGCCCGTGGGCAGAAAATTCCCATCTTCTCTGCTGCTGGTCTTCCGCACAATGAAGTAAGTATTCTTTGCTTCCATGCCAACATCTGGAGTCTTCAATGGTTTTTTACCCAGGAAGACTTTCTCAACTTGCTCTTAAAGAGATTGTGTGTGTCATCAAATGATATTTTTCTATGCCATTGTTTGATCTTTAATTTCATATTTTTAAAGGTTAGCCTTTAACTGATGGATAGATAGATAGTTTTATTTAACAATGAATCAAAATAACACGAGGCAAGTGAAAACTACACAAAATAAAGGTGCTTCAATCACACGCTCGCATGGCAGGTGTTGATCATCATAATACAAAAATTATCTAAACAGGAAAAGTAATCAAGTTGGCAATTCTGTCTAATAGCACATCTGACTGATATTTTGGTCCAATTTCCGTTATGTATGTTTAGCGACCTTCAGTGAGGAGTGTGGAAATTTTGCTGTGACTAAATTTTTTTACCTCCAGTAATGTCTTCTAATTTTGAAAAAAGTCAATTCTTTTTCACCTCTCCAATTTGTATCTATATTCTGTTCATCAGCTGAAAGAACCCCGAAAAGACCTTATGGGCAATGGCTCTCTCTAAAATCTGATGAAAATTGGATATAATGCTCAGCTAGTCATTCTGATCAAAAGTTCTTATTGGCCGAAAGAGATCCCACGAGCGGTTTTCGAGATATTCGCCGTATTATGTGCGTAAATTGAGGTTTCGCAGGCCGGATCATTGTGCGGTGCCTCTTGTGCCCTTTCCTCCCAGTTCACTCGGGCTGCTCTCCGCTTCCCCGCCACCCATACCTGCGGCTCCGACTTTGACGCTCACGAGACTTTGCTCATTGTCGCTGAGCCAGGTGGTCTTATCACTGTGAGCGTCTGAGTTCAAGCCTCGGGTAAGGGTGCCAGGGAAGCGGAGAGCGGCTGAAGTGGACTGGAAGGGAAGGGCACAAGAAGCACCACACAATGATCCGGCCTGCAAAACCTCAATTTACGCACCTAAAACAGCGAATATCTCGAAAACCGCTCATGGGATCTCTCTCGGCCCATAAGAACTTTTGATCAGAGTGACTAGCTGAGCATTATATCCAAGTTTCATCAGATTTTAGAGAGAGCCATTGCCCACAAGGTCTGTGTGGGGTTCTTTGTTAGGCAATTTCACCTCAAAACTGAGGCAATCTCCCTATATCTTTCCCTCTATCCTCTATCCATCTTATCCCTCTATCTTTTCTATTATTTATAACTGAGAAGAGGATGGAAGAAATAATGCTGGAAACGTTTCTTGGATCTGATTTTGCAGAAGTGAAAATCCTGCCAATATTTTGGAAATGTATTTATTTTTCCTGATAATTTGCTTTATTGAAAATCAAAACTTCTTTATTGCTCTGTTGTTGGCGCAAAACCACCACTAAAAATCAGAGTTACTGCAGTTGTAATATAGAAATGCCTGTAAACTCAGTGTTCATCGCAGCAGTGAAATAAGGATGAGATAAGTAGTACCAATTTCTGAGACTTGAAATGTGAGCTTTTGCTCTTCCGGCACACTAAGGCTGTAATGATGGTACATCAGTAATGGAATAAGGTTGTTTAATCCTTCAGATCAGGGTGTCCACTGTACGGAAAAAGTGCAGATACACTGAAAAAGCACGGTTTTTGGATGTTAGGTATGGAAGTACGGAAATTGTACAGATTTTTCATGAGAAGTTATGGAAATTAGATATTTTTAAGTTCACCAAAGCTTCAAGCATTTAGATGAAAAAAAAAAAATAAGAATAAATTATCCTCTGTTTTCTAGATTGCTGCCCAAATTTGTCGTCAAGCTGGTCTTGTCAAGCTCCCTGGCAAATCAGTGCTCGATGACTCCGAGGACAACTTTGCCATAGTTTTTGCTGCCATGGGTGTGAACATGGAAACAGCCCGTTTCTTCAAGCAAGATTTCGAAGTTAGTAATTTGCGAAGAGAAGAACATTCAGCTCAGACACAAATTTTTTATTATGTTTTAAATAAAATAGGAACTCTCTAACAACAACTCAAGATTTAAATGTTGAATTATTTTGAATTTCTAAATTATAAATGTTTTCTTTTTGAAGCATATAATCTAAATTAATACCGGAGAGTGTCAGAACACAGTCTCTCCAGGTCTAAAATGAAATGATTTAAGCTTTCCAAAAGCTTTGCATTTGTATTCAAATATTCTTGGTCGCTTTTTTATTTAATAGATCGAGGTATCTTCAACAATTGTGGGTTTCCTAAGTATGATCCACTTCACCAGGCAATTTTTCCGCTTAGTTTAAATACTTCAATGACTCAAATTGCATGGGAAAACATTGAAGAACATAAATTATTTTGTGATTCCTTTAATTTGCCTTCTTAAATCTCAGGTCATGGATTAATTTTATGAGCTCCCAAACTGTTTTTCAATCCTGACATTAAAGTGTTTTCATAATAGTATTATTCTAATTTTTTATAATCTTTTCTCTGCCTCGTAGGAAAATGGTTCCATGGAAAATGTGTGCCTTTTCTTGAACTTGGCCAATGACCCAACAATTGAAAGAATCATCACTCCCCGTTTAGCCTTAACAGCCGCTGAATTCTTGGCGTACCAATGCGAAAAGCACGTTCTTGTCATCTTAACTGATATGAGTTCATACGCTGAAGCCTTGCGAGAGGTAAGTCCGCTTTTCCTCAGTTTCGTTTTCAACTTGTATGGAGGGGATTCAGTTAGTGGAGCAAGTCCGCAAGTCTGTAAAACCAGGCATTGTTCAGAAATTTTATCAGGCCAGGGAAATTGCAGAAAAAACAGAGGATTTTATGAAGAAAGGTGGAAATTTGAAAAAAAAAAAAAAAAAAAAAAAAAAAAACATTAGTGTTGTTCACACATTCAAACTGAGTCTCAGTCGGGATCGGAACTCAATGCTCTGAATTTCACTTTGAATAGTGAATATAGAAGAATATGTTTCAATAAGAAATTGACATTTTTCGTAATTGAATGATTTGTCATTTTGTGATTTAATAGGAATCACAACTCTTTTCCATTGGTTGGCAACTGCGCTCTTGACTCGTCCTGACGTGTTTCGTTCAGCTCTCCTTAAAACCAACCCAAAAACCTGTTTTACTTTGTTTTGTGCCTCAGTTTTGGTACCGTTTTAATCGGCAGCACAAGCTGTATCTTTCGGTGCTTCGTCTGAACTTTCAAAATCCCCAGGGATTAAGTCTTAACATCGTTCTTAGTGATGTGATTGTGGCCTAAAGTGATTGTGTAACAGAAAGTTGCCAATTATAGCTGCTCTCACATCAATTTTTCTTTTCTTGCGCATGCGCAATTTAAACAAACTTTGGCAACTACGGCTAGACAACAATCTATGCTTTAGATCGTTATAGTGATTAGACTCACTCCTCATCGGCTGAGACGGCGGCGGCGCGGCGCGCGGCCCACATAGCCGCCCCCCCTCCCTGCAGTATGAAACCCTGCATACAGCACGATCAAGTGCACTGTGACCTGTGCAAATGCTCAGTGCACGAAGTAACTGATTGTCACAAAACTGACTGTATTAAAGAAAAACACTTTTCACTCAGTGCTCCCACAGCTTTGTCTAAAGTCAAAACCAAGAGAAATGAATCTCCACTAAGGACTTCCACTCCCACCCCTGAATCCTCAGCAACTATCTCTCAGAGTAACCCGCCTACTGACACTGACGAAAAAGAAGAAAAAATGGACTACCTTGAAGCATCTTTAAAAAGAGGCAGAAACGATGATCCGAACTCCTCCATCAGTGATATCGACAAATCTGGCAAGAAGAAGCAAGCCCTTGATAGCAACGTCCTCCCTGACAAATCCTCAACCGGCGAACAAAAAGATGCCGACATCAATCCTGGAAAAGTATCCGACTCCGACTCCGATGATGGCTTTTTCGTACCGAAAAGTTCAATTGATGTTACTAAAAAGAATCCACCCAAATACTCAAGAGGAAGAGGAAGAAACAAAAGGACTCCTTCTACTCCCAGAAACCGCAGTGCATCAGCTACAGGATCCAAGAATACGAAACAAACAAAGAAGAAAGAGGATCCCTTAAACTCAGATCCTATAATTAGCAATAATGAACCAAACGCTCAAAACCAGAAACCCCGTGAAGAAAACACCCATAAACCTTCTAAAGTTACCCTTGAATCCCTTTTTGGCCATATTGACACCCCCAATGAATTTTCCTGGTCGATTTTAAAAGAAATGTTGTTTGCATTAAGAGATTCAGTTACAACTAACGAGAATCATTTCCGAGATCAAATCGAGTTCTGGAAAAATAAATATGAAAAAACTCAAGCAGAACTAGACTCTTTAAAGTCAAAAATTGAAAAACAAATGTCCGATTTCAACAATAAATTAACCAATGTACAACAAACTGTCAGTAAAATTGATAAAAAAAAGAACGACTTTCCAGCATTAAATGAGAAATTAAGCTACAGTGAACAGCTCAAAAAAAATAAACAGAATATTACCTATGGAGTTGTAAATAGAGCCTCAACTGAAGTCACTATTTTACTAGAATCTAACGTCTCGGGGAAAACAATTGATGAACAACACCTTTTCGATTTAATCCATAAAGAAATTCCCTCCAACTTAGGCAAAATTTTCTCGATTAGTTTGAACAAAAATAAAGATTTTATTATAAGAGCCAAAACTGACGATAGAGCGAAATTAGAGTCTGCATTAAAAAATTGCCTTAAAGCCAAACCTGTTAGCATTAAAACTACTTACCCCTCAGAGGTTGTTAGCTTTGGTCCAATCCCTGCAAATATGTCAGAGTCCCAAATTCTTAAAGAAATTCACTCCGAACTCAAAAATAAGTACACCCTCGAAAACATTCAGGGAAAAACACATATATTTAGAACAATCTCCTTGAGAAATACTTATGGAACTCCAAAAAATCTTGTTTACATCAGAATAGAATCACCGTTACTCGAAGATGTCCTAATCCAAAGAGACTTTTATTTAAGTACTTTTGGTTTCGCCAAAGCCGAACCCAAAATCTTAGTTTCTCCCTGCATGAACTGCTTAGATTTTTATCATGGAACTAAACAATGTGTCAAAAATGAAATATTATGTCTCAAGTGCGGGAAAAATAATCATAAAATTGCAGAATGTGAAGAAGAAACCGCAAAATGTGTCAATTGTGTAAGACACAAAATGAAAGATAATTTAGATCATCTTCCAACCAGTCCCAAATGTCCAATCTATATTAAGGCCCTGGAACAAAAATGCAAACGATACGATAACTCAGACAATTTTATTTGTGAACAGTTTCGTAATTTATCGCCATTAATTAATAACTCACAGCAAAGTAATAATGTAATCATCCATGACCTCACTCAACAAACCCAATCATGAACACACGCACTAATAATCGTTTTGCGATGCTCGAACTTGATTCTGAATCTGACTCAATTAATCTTATCAAGGCTGACGAACTAATCTGTCAACACACACGTTCAATATCCAAATGTATTATTTGCTTCGATCCCAGATCCTATTCCGATATAAATTGTATCTGGTGCAGACATAATATTAAAGTCAAGAATTGTTCTAAATGTAAAGATATGCTGCTCCCCCCTCTAAAACTTTCATGCGGCAGAATTATTAGACCAATTTCACTTCCCCCTTTATGGTCCACGGCATATAGCTCCGATGAAGCCGATAATTCAATCTCATCATCGGCACGTGAATTACACAGACAAGAGAACGTTCCCTTTTGTTATGATTCAAGCGAGGAGTCCGACACTTTTATCACTGAAAGGGACAAAATTGTATTCAAAAAAGTAGACGAAAATGAAGTGATTATTAGTAAAAATATGCCTACCAATACCCTAAATATTTTTCGGAATAACAATAACACTACTCAAGCTGATATATCAATATTGTCATGTAATGTTGATATCAACTCTGTTAATTCTGTTTCATCAACCAAAGCTGAATTATCAATCCTTTTAGGTAATGTAAATACGAATCCTCATTCTCATGATCTTAACAAACAAATCGTTCAACAACGCCAAATCGGATGTTATCTCTTTACGGAACCCAATGTAGCAAAAGCTAGCTTTGATAACTTATATTCAAGTTTAGATCTCTGGGTGTCTGCCTGCACAACACCGTTTCTTACGGGGTCCACCTCTGATTGGGAAGCCGGTCCCTTTTATATTCTGTTTACTTGGTCGTCTATAACAATAATTGGTATATATCTCTCCCCCAATGACTGTAACATAGAGATGCAGAAAGCTTTATTTATTTTAGAAACTCGTATTAAAAGAATCAAAGGCCCTTTTGTCATATTAGGCGATTTTAATGGAAGATCCCCCGCCTGGGGCGACTTAGTTTACAACTCCAGAGGACGTATAATAGAAAATTGGATCTTTGAAAATGAACTTGTCATCCATAATAATCACGATACTTTTACGCCCACTTTCATAAATTCCAGAGGCTTTCACTCCATTCCAGACCTGGTAATCTCTAGTCCAGATTTAACTGATAACATTAATATAGAAGTTTTAGATTCCTACACCCTTTCTGATCACAGAAGTATTGTTGTTAGCATTCGACAAGAGTTAAGTACTAGTAATAATAACAAAGTATCTATAGAAAATTCTGGTTGGTTTGTAAACAAAGAAAAATTCCCAGACTTTATTAAAACTATTAAAAAACTAACTACTAAATACACAGAAGAATCGAAGCTTTCTCCATCTCTATGCGATAAAATAATCTCTGAAGCCTCTGATGCTCACTTTGTTAAAAAATCAACTGTAACCCCTTTTACCCCTCTATATTGGTGGACCAAAGAAATTGGCAATATAAGAAAAAACTGTCAGAAACTAAGAAGAAAATTAATGGAACTTAGAAGGAAAAAATTACCGTTACTTGATAAATTAGCCGAATTAGATAATCTAAAGAAAGAACTTACCTCCAAAATTGCCGAATCCAAAAAGAAAAAATATAAAGATCTAATCAATGAACTAGACACTGATATATGGGGCAAAGGTTACAAAATTTTCAGACGTCGCCTCAAGAACCCCAAATCCCATGATAATTCAACCCTTTCTGAAGAAGAACTACTGGACCAGATTTCCAAACTATTTCCAGATCATGGAGATGTCGTCTGGAGAGACACCATAGTCAATAATTCTGAAATCCCTGAGATTTCTATGGAAGAAGTTCGCCTGGCAATTAAAAAGCTAAAGAATGGAAAAGCCCCTGGTCCCGACGGTATTCTTCCTGTGATAACCAAACTCTTTATCGACACTAATATAAAAATTTTTACTGAAATGTGTAATAATCTTCTAAAAGAAGGCTCTTTCCCTGACATTTGGAAAGAGGCAAAATTGATATTGTTTCCAAAAATAAAGCCAGGTGATCCTCAAAAGAAATACAGGCCCATTTGCCTAATTAACACCCTTTCAAAGATTTTTGAACACATACTCGCTCATAGACTCTCTAGTATTTTTAAATTTGATAACAGACAACATGGTTTCCGCAAAGGTAAATCAACCATCACGGCCATGGAATCTGTCAAGAGGATCTTGGATTATCACAGGAGGAAACCTGTAAGCAGAAGAGGTCTTCTTTGTTTAGTATCTCTCGATATAAAAAATGCATTCAATAGCATTAGCTGGTTGGATTTCATAAGCACCCTTTGTAAAAGAAATGTACCCCCTTACCTGATAAGAATTATGAAATCTTATCTGACAGACAGATTTTTAGTGTTTCCCGACTTCAAAATTAAGTTAAATTCTGGTGGTGCCCAAGGTAGTATTCTGGGACCTCTAATCTTCCTTATTATCTTTGATGAAATTGTGAGAATGAAACTTGGTCCAAATGTTGATAAGAATGTCTACGCAGACGATACCCTTCTAGCCTTCGAATCGGAAAATCAAGAAACACTACTTAAAGAAACTGAAAGCTCTTCTAAAAAATTAAAGAGTAAAATCAGGAAGAAAAAATTGTTTATAGAAGACAATAAGACAGAAGCTCTAATTTTATCAAATAGCACCAAAGACAAAAATTTAAAAATTAAAATAGATGACACTGTTATTAAAACTAGCGATATCATGAAGTATCTTGGATTTTACCTGACCAAAAATCTCAACTTTAACAAACACCTAGAATTAACCTGCCAAAAACTTAAGAAAACAGCCAATAATTACAATCAGATTCTTCCCAACTGCTTTGGTCCAACCTTTCTTAGACGTAAGATCATTTTCCATTCTCTTCTCTCAATTCTTTTTTATGGCATAACCATTTGGATTTCAGCCACCTGTTGGAAGAAAACTACTAAGCTAATTGAATCCTCTATCCGTCCATTAAAAAAAACCCTCATTTGCGGGTACAAATCCGTGTCAAACTTTGCACAAGATATCATTTCCGGAGTCCCCCCAGCTACTTTATTAATAGAAATGAAACTGAGAATTGCAAGGGGCGAGGATAGATTAATTGTTGAAAAAGAAATTAAAGACAAATGGAGAGAGATATGGATTAACGAAAAGGGCAATTTCTGGATAAAAACCATAATAAATGACCTTGATGAATGGCTTGATCGCGATCACGGTAATCCTGATTTCTATATGACACAGTTCTTGTCTGGCCACGGCGCCTTCGGCAGTTATTTAGCTAAAAGAAACTTGATTGATTCTCCCCTTTGCACATGCGGAGAGATTGACACTCCAGATCATACCTTCTTCTCTTGTAAATTGAAACTTAATCTTAAGGAAAATCTAGAATCGGAAATGAAACAGCCAATTAATGCAAAAAATTTATTAAGATTAATGTTAGAAAGTAAGCATAATTGGTACTTAGGTTACAAATATATAAAAGTAATATTAGATGATAAGATCAATAAATTTAAGCCTAGTAGCAATAAGACAAACAACTCCGCTCCAACAGCCAACACCCCCGACGTAATGCCTCCAGGCGGTCCCGGGGCTTTATTAAGTTAGTAATAGTTCAGTTAAGTTAATTACAATTTAAATTTAGATCAATTAAATTTTGTCAACTATGTATTTAAAACTTAATAAAGAAATTTAAAAAAAAAAAAAAAAAAAAAACTCTTTTCCATTAAGTGTGCTGTGACCATGTTGTCAAGAACAAATATGTATGTATAATGACCCTAAAGCCCTCTTAGCAATTTTTCCCCCCTTTTTATAGTAAATGTTATAAAATTGCAAAGAGCTGTGAACAAGATGCATTCTGTTTTTTTATTTCTTTTTCTTCATAAACTTCTCAATTTCTTTTCTGACTGGTGTTATTTTTTTAGGTCTCCGCTGCCCGTGAAGAGGTACCCGGTCGACGTGGTTTCCCCGGTTACATGTACACCAACTTAGCCACCATCTATGAACGAGCTGGTCGTGTTGAGGGCCGAAACGGATCCATCACTCAAATCCCCATTTTAACTATGCCTAACGATGGTGAGTTTCCTACTCTAGAGTCTAAGTATTTAAGATAAAATATTCAAATATTAAAAAATGAAGAAGAAGCACTAATATTCTCAAAACAAAACATTTTGTCACAGAAAAATTTAATATTTCCTTGGAGTTACGACTTTTTTGTTTTTGATGGCACTTTATATGAAGCTGTTTAAGACGTTTACTGCCGACGTTTTTTTTTGATACTTATTTCCTGTCATGGCGAAATGCTAACGCCTGGATCTGCGGCTCCTGTTGATCATTCCAAAGCCATTGCTCTCGGTCAGGTAGTGCATGTGCTGCACAAAACACTGGTTACCATAACCACCCTCGCAGTGAACATGTTGTAATCTGGCCTCTTTTCCCCATGCTTTTAATCTTTTATACCATGTACCTCCTGAATAACCGTAACCTGAGGGGCCTAGTACTGTCACTATGCAGTTTTAACTAAACATTTGTCGTTATTTCAGATATTACTCATCCTATTCCCGATTTGACTGGTTACATTACGGAAGGTCAAATCTACGTAGACCGTCAGCTGCACAATAGGCAGATCCACCCTCCGATCAACGTGTTGCCTTCACTCAGTCGATTGATGAAGTCTGCTATCGGTGAAGGAATGACGCGTAAAGATCACTCTGATGTCTCTAACCAGTTGGTAAGATTCAGAAATGGTTATCAACTTTTTGGAGATAGGTTAGAAATTATTGAAAAATATGAAAATTCTATTTAAAATGGATACCTTAAGATCAGGATGAAAACACACGAAAATGGGTAATTGAAGCAATAAAATCCAGAAGTTTTAAAGGCAGGGACGTTTCAAGGTTTTATTAACTCCATTATCGACTCAATGAAATCAAATAAATTATTTCAAGTTCTTGTGAAGGTTAAATTTTGAGGCTATGTTTCAAATATTAAAATCAGTTCGACTGCTCTTGAGGTTAATGTAGATATCCCTCCAAAAAGTGGAATCACAGAAATAGAAACTTGTCAGAAAAATATTTTAATACATTTTTAGGTTGTGTACCTTAAAGTAGCGAGTTGTGCACGGCAAGTTGTAACAATGGTTTTATGAATTGTGATAATTTCCGGGTGACAAGTTCTTAAAATTTCCTTGAAAATCTAGGAAAGTCAGAGAATTTTTCCCAGCCCTGAAAAGTCGGAGAAATTTGCCGCAGAACCTTGATTTTCTCCCTTTAGCTCAAAAAGTTTTATATTTTTCAATTTCAAAAAACTATATGCTGAAAAATTTCTGTGAAAAGCATATTTTTGTATGGAATCATGCGGAAAGAAAATAAAAAAATCGGAGAATTTTAAGTTAAAAAATCATGGATAATTTGGAGAAATTCGAAATTCCGGAGAACTTGTCACCCTGACAAGGAAGTCACTTTTGCTAATTCAAACCATAAATTTAGTATTAATGCGATTTGACACTATTTTTTGTTTATCACATCTTCACTTTCTGTAAATAAACAGTCACAGTCTTGATGTTTGCATTCAGTCCATCTGGCCTTGAAAGGGCTAAATCTCGCCCGGCAACGCACTTGACACGGGCTCGCTCTGGGGGCGTAAAGAGCGTGAATATTTCGGGGGCGCCTAAGAGGCGAAGTCTCCACCAATCCGCGAATTTTAGGAGCCACGGATAGCTCACATGGTTGAATGATGACAAGACAACAATTGATCGATTAAATGAATGATTGATTGATTTAATAATCATAGACAGAATACACGAATCAAATTTCAGAACAACGAAACCGAAATACACAACTAAATCTTCTTCAAAATCTTCCAAACTTCCAAAAACTCTCCAAAACAACCGAAACTCAAAAATAGACAAAAACTACAGCTAGCACACCAGGACTTGGCGGGGGCAACGGTCGGACGACTCTAATGTGCTGATCCTCTATGCCGGGGGTCTCGCGGAGGCTGCTGACGAATTTTCACTCAAAACGTTGACGGAAGGGTTGAACCGCACTCAGTGACTTGGCGGGAGGCAACGGTCGGACGACTCTAATGTGCTGATCCTCTATTCCAGAGGTCTACGGAGGTTGATTCGACACCGCCGAAAAACACTTTGAGGACTCAGGGATGGAATTTTACGTGCACCTGGACATTACACGGAATCGCGACATTTCCCATCCCGGCGAACATGAGCGACTGAGTTTAGAAATTTTCCGGAAAACGCGCGTCACCGTGCACCGCCGCTTCCTACGTCCCGCGCGTCCTGCCCCTTTACGCCAATAGCATCTCACGAAAAGTGCTGATCAATCTAGGGCTGGCCGCGGTTCACACGGGAAACAAGAGCAAAATCTAACCTATGACGTCACAACATTTCCTCCTTGCTGAGCCGCTGTCCGGCAAGCGATCCGCGCTATTCTCCCAGTACAAGGAGAACATGAATAATTTTTAAGTGTAGGGCTCAATTTTCGTTTCAGCCTCATAATTTGGAACAAGGCTTTTTTTAGTCGGCAAAGCCAACTAAAATGGTAGATTTTGTATCATAGGACCTTGCACATTCATCACGCATTAGTGTCTTTCTTTTGGCCCTTGAAAATCATTTGTGTTTTTTTCCTTTTCAGTACGCCTGTTACGCCATCGGTAAGGACGTTCAAGCCATGAAAGCTGTGGTGGGAGAGGAAGCCTTAACGCCTGACGATTTGCTGTACCTTGAATTCCTCACGAAATTCGAGAAGAACTTCATCTCGCAAGGTAAATGTTTTTTTTGTCTTATTTTTAATTTATCCAGCTCATTACACAATTCAGAAAAAAGTGAACTTATGATTTTGAAGTGCTTGGTTCCCATAAAATTTTTTAATAAGACGCGTTTCTCATCTTCTATCCTATGGTCGTAAACGATAAGTTTGTTTTTAAGAAGTTATCTTTAAATTTTATTAGGCCTCAAAGGGACTAAGAGTTGACGAAGCAATACATAGCATTATCTGGGATAAAAAGTAAAAATTCATACTAGTCACAGAAATTTTCTTGAAAACCGAAATTTTGTTCCACTTGATTGACATGATTTTGTATCTCTTTCAACGACTAAGGCAATTTTTTTTTTAATATTATACCATTGATTCACTGAAACATACATAGTAACAGCTTCTCTTTTAAATCTCCCTATGATTTTTAAGTATTCAGGGTCAAGTTTTGTAAGTTTGCAAGAGTTGAATGAGCTGTCTGCACCCAACTTAATATCTCATGAATGATGTTTCAACGATTTTGAATCAAAATTTTTTTGTTCAAGTTAACTATAGGCCCTCCACTAAGACAGAAACACAGAAGTTACAGAAATCTAAGTTAGGGCTGAGTTCAACCCTTCAAAACGATCCTCTCTTCAAAAGGGTCATGAAATTGAGTGAACCTCCACAGGAACTCAATCCATAAAATTTTATATTTTGGGCGGATAGACACTAAAATGAAACATACAATAATAAAAGTATAACTGAACTAATGGCCACTCAATCATATTTTTCCATGCTTGAGTTTCTTGGATTTCAATTTTCTTCGCACAGTGATCTTCTTAGAAGGATAGTTAATCACCCCTCTGCCTTTCTGCCCCAGGTAACTACGAGAACCGTACCGTCTTCGAATCCCTGGACATCGGTTGGCAGTTGCTGCGAATCTTCCCGAAGGAGATGTTGAAACGTATCCCAGCCTCCACACTGGCGGAATTCTACCCCCGAGATTCACGTCACACTCAGGCCAAGTAAGGCCTTCGCGATTTCTCCTATGTTGTTATTATTTTCTGGTAAGTTGTCCCATCAAGCTATTCAAAAAAAAGCTCAGCAACTCTTTCACTGAGATTTCTCTTAACTTTAATTCAAGGTTTCTAGGCGCGATGAAATTGAGTAACGGAGGAAATTTGGCCAAACAGCCTCTTTTTGGATGAATCTCTCTTGAAGGAGCTTCCTTCTATCTTTAACTGGTTGGTTGGTCTCTCAATATATCTCCACACGCATAGCAACAAACTCATTTTCTCAGCAAAAACTGGGTATGAGAATGTCTAAAAATTCATTATTTAGCCCTGTTTTTCTCAACAGGCTCATAAAAAGTTCAATTTTTAAAGAACAAGTGCTGGGGAGGTTGTTATGAATGTTGGATTAACTAAAATCGAAATTAAGCTTGTGCAAGATTCTTGTTATTTCATGCGTAGTATATTGAAGAATTTGTCATTGATCTAAGTAATTTTTTTCTAATGAAATATTTTCATGTGAAAATTAATGTTGCTTTTGCAATGGTTTATCGTTTACTTTTGGCTAGGAAAAATCAGAGAACTGAAAGCATGATTTGTCCAGGAAGAATACCTTTCATTCGAGTCTGAAGTGATTTCTGCATCAAATGCAAAGTTTTTTTCCGAGACAAATACTGCTTTCATTTCTTGTAATTTTCGATTTTTTTTTGTTGAGAATGACTCTTCAGACTCATGTGCAAGGGATAATGGCAAAACATTCAAAATCTGCCCTGATTTTTTGCTTAATCGATGCAATATATCATACGCCAGTTTTACTATGTCAAGAGCCTGACTCAAATTACCTCAATGTCATTATTAAATTGATGATTCATTTGAACTGTTTTTTTTTTTTTTTGCAGGTTGTTATGATCAAACTGGCCAGCGGCATTTTTTCCTGCAACTTCTGTTGTTGTTGTACCTTTTTTTCTTTATCATGTTATGATTGATTCGTAAATAATTGCAAGTTATATCTTAGATTTTATTCAGATAAGCATGATATTGGATTTTATCTTGACATTCCATTCATATTCATCTTATTCCATCGTTTCATCAATTTCGTTACAAGTTAGCCCTTGTTCTTCGTGTAAATTAAAAGTTGTTGTATCTTTAAAATTCACAAATTTGAGTAACGCAAGTTACATTTTTGCAAGTAGTTAGAAACTTTGTACGTAGGTGGGTCAGGTACTTGTTATTAATCTGGCCTCTAAGAGCAGTAAGCAAGTTCTATCGAAGAAAAATGGAAAAATCATCGTTAAATCTATAAATCGCGACAATAACCTCCAAAGGATAGGGAATATATTTTTTACATCCACAACTATTTCGTCTAAAAATTAGTGCTCATTGGACAGTAAAAAGTGTTTCCTTCAACGCTTTTTCCACACGGGTAAATTTCACGGCTCAACAAATTCTGCACCCTCAGTTTCACTAACTAGTTTCAGGAGGGTTTAAACTAATTTGATGAAGTCAATAGTCAAGTTATTCTTGGACTGAACTTACAACTTTCAGAACTTCTTTGGCGGAGGTTTGCCGACGTGGAGGAATCATAACTTGTCCTTGTTTCATTCAAAATTCGAATTTGATTACTGTTTGTCATCAAAACCTAAAAATTTTAAAATAATACTTTTGCTCCGATCGCTTACCAACATAGTATTAATATTAACTTTAATTCATAAAAAATTAGACTTAAAAATAGATAAAAGTTTCCCAGTCAAATCGCTGTTTTTGTAATGTTGAGTGTGTGCGATGTTTATTCTTGTTGATCGTGTTTTAGAGTATTTTAGATGAGATTTTTAGTGGAAGTCAGTATATTCAAGCAGCTTTTATCGATCTTCCCCGCTCCCTTAAATCCACGATTTGTACGGATTGTATCATTAGCAATTTTTTTCACCTCCCTCCAAGCCTCGATTTGTAAATATATTACTCACTTTGGTTAAAATTCAATTGTTGAATTTAAAGAGTCATTAATCTCTTCTTATCATCGATTCAATGTGTGTGATTATAAATTTCATCCCATTAGTTTCCTGAAAGTTCATTAATGACTTATCAAGTGTGAATCATTGTGCTACTCGGTAAAATCGAAGACCAAGGTAAAAGCTTGCATGACTGCCGACCGGCAATTGTATTTCCAGTCTTGAGCACTTAGTTTATGGGTTTTTTGTTACTTCTCTCTTTGATTCTTCAGTATTTGTGGACTAAAAAATATTTTTTGTTCACGTTTTTTTCATTTACTGAAGATTTTTCAAGATCTTTCCTTTTGAGGGCCTTTTTCGAAAGCAAAAGCAGGTTCATACTTAGCCAAGAGATATTGCAAAGTATTTTCTCCGACGTTTTACTAAAGCATTCAATGCAAAAGAATTGTTTTTTGAATTTTGAATACTCTTTTCACCTGTGTTGTTGCTTGAAAAGTACGCTTTCCGAAGCTGCTGTTGTCTGATTGTAAGCCAAGCATCTGAATTGAATTGTTGAGCTTTCGATTCGTAAAAATGCCTAAATATCTTGTTGCTCAAAATTTATTGGGACTTGGGCGAATTGAATTCTTTCCATCAGTATCATCTTAGGCAGATATTTCATGTACCAGACTGCAATACTATTGCCGCTTTAAGTATCGTGAGCACTAACATCAATTGTTCGAGTACGTCTAAACACAACTGTAATGTTAAAAACCCTCTATGTATTTACCAAATTGTGTAATAAAGTAAATTTTATTCTGTTAAATTCTTATTTTTTACTGTATGAATCCTGTATTAGTGACCAAGTTTAGTGCTGCCAGTGTTTGGGATTTTGGGGAAGGTCAAGAAATGTGTCTTTTGAAGATAGAATTAGATGGTCACTAAAATGTAAAATACAAGCCAAAAAAGGTAACTCTTTGATTTTCGATGCAATATCGCACACATGCATATGCATTCTCAAGCTTTGTTTTGTTAAAAAAAAAAAAAAAAAAACCTTTCCTTTTCCTAAAGAGATAAATAATCAAACCATCATTGGCAAAAACGGTTTAAATAGGTAAAAAATAAAAAATGAAAAAAAACTTTAGTTTGCAACGTTTGACCTGGGTGTTACTAATCACCAGTTGTATTTTATTTTAAGTTCAATAGGAAACTGTGAAGTGTTTTTTTTTTTCTAGAGTTTTTGGCTTCCTTTATCTATCCTATTCATAAAGTGAATAATTAATGACTGCCAGTTGTCCACTGTTCTTTTGTCTTTAAATTTTTCTCAGCTACTTTGTAAAATGTTAAATGAAAAAATACATTTTTGGTGACTAAACTCGGAAACTACATCTCATAATTTACGACATTGCCAGCTTCCAGACATATTTGATTTTTTCAAGTAATACTTTTTTATGGTTCGAAATAGAGATCGGTCAAACTTTCAAGTTATCTTGCAAGATATAAGAGACAACTCGATATTTGCAGAATTAAATTGTTCTTGGTTCCTGTATTGTGAACTGACCGCAGTAACATGAACTGTTTTATAAAGTTTCTAAAACTCGCAAATTTCAATGAATGAAAACTCTGAAGGAGGCTGTTAAAATGTAAAAATTACAAAATTCTTTTTAGTCTTTTATTTCATGGTTAACAAGGTTTTATATCAGAAAGATGCAACTATTTCACACAATTTTTTTTTCCGGTTATGTATTTTGCATATCTATCAAATTTCAATTTATGTTTCACAGCAGCATAAATTACACATGATTTTTTTTTAAATTTAACGAAATTTTCTTTCTCATTTTTTTTCACACCTATCCTGTCTCTTTTGTTTCGCGTATCGCACATCCTGAAAAAGGCGGCTCCCACTTCTGCACATCAAGGACCAAACAAGAAAAAAAGTTTGGAATTTACTTCTTCAGGAGCTGCAAATCAAAAAGTTCAATACCGATTTTCACATTTAAAGTATTTCTTCTTGGTTTTGAATTTTAGAAAACGTCTGGCCGACTTAGCACAATTCCCCATAATTTGACTTCACCCCTGTCCGCCAGTTCAATTTAACGTCAGTCCTCATGTTCATCATCAGCAGCAGCTAAATTTAGCCTACAATAAGCAACATAGGCAACCTCAATATCACTTGAGGGCTTGTTTTTCCGTATGGTCTTTCCTACCTGCCTCTTGCCATACGCCCCCCCCCCCTCTCATTCATTCAGCTATGAATGAATCAGTGTGCAAGTACAGTGCAACACACCTCCCACTTTCTAGCCCCATACGTGTCATCATCCAAGGTTGTCAAGTATACCATATTTTGGATTCACAAGATATGTATCCAATTTTCTGGAAAGTGCATGATTGAGAGTGTAACATTAATATTATCCCGCCGAATTTTGTTTAAATTTTTGTAGTGATCAGATTTTTTCCCAAGGAAACTGACGCTTGCTCTGTTAAAAATAGTAGTCTGACAACACTGTCGTGTAATCAACGTGCCGCTTGAAGCGTCGATTTTCGTCTGTCACCAATTCCTATCCTACTGGGAGATGGTATTGCTGTCACTTTCCGCAGCCGTCCTTTATCAGCATATCAGTACATAAATTGTTCAGATCTTGAAAGTTACCACCGGTGACCGGATTCCTGACAAAGTGCGTGTAAGTTTGTTTCGTTTGTTTCATCGCTTCCTTCTTTCAGTGTAGATTACAACGTATCGCTCAGCTCGACCCAGTGCCCATTTTAATAACTCTTGTTGTCTTCTTATGTAATTAATTTCTATGTTTTGGTGCTCATCCACAGGAAAAGTCTCTGGGTTAACAGTGCTGTGATACCGCGTTAATATCATTGCGACATTTTTTTGTCTCATTTGAAAAAATCTGCCGCCAAAATCATTTACACAACTCCTCTAAACTAAACTTCTGTGCCGAATTTCAGGATTTGAAGGTTTCAAGTGCTGTGCTGTGCAATTCAATACCATGGCTGCTGTTCAAAGATTGTCCGATAGATTTTGTCAAGTTCTGCTGAAAACGAATTGGGGCGCGTCTACAGCTTTAGCCCACAAATCTAATCGCCAGTCGAGAAATTACTTCACCTACAGCAGAGAGCCAGCCCAACCTCTGCCTCGCGAGCCGAAAGTTGTAACGCCTGAAGAAGCAGTGAAATGCATAAAATCGAGTAAGTTTAATTTCAACAAGTTATTCAACAGCTGGAGTTCTTACTCTGACTCTGACTTCAGCTATTGAACCCTCTTCCGATCATCATTGATATATTTATTTTATCCTAACCTATAAATGCTTCGGTGAAGGAATCCAGTTTTGAAAAAAGTAGGGTTTCCACTTTTTAGTTTGATTGAAAAATTTAAAAGCTATTTGGTACTTAGGAGGAGGACTAGTCCAGGAGAAAATTAAGCCTTCAGAGTCCACTCTTGAAACCTTGTCTAACTTTCCTACATGCGATGGAAAATTAAACACTACTTACTCACAGCAAATGCATAGAAAACGAGGACCATAGGGTACACTGTACTCAGGCTTATAATTTCAGCCAGGTTAGTTTTTCTCACATTTATCAGAAATCCCCAATACTTACCCTAATTACCATCGTCAACAGCAATGTTCATCAAGGAAATTGAATAGGTGGTCACGTAAGTTGATAAAGGTTGGGACATTGATCAGCATAAAAAGTTGTTTCGGTAGAATCCCTACCAAGTAAGTTCTCGAACTTTCAGAGCAAAACAAAAGATCTACCATCTTGATTTTTGTATCTATTCAATGCTAAATTAAAGACATCCTATCTTTAGTTGCACTCTAAAAGTGCGTTTACTTATTTGGTGTGGACTCTGCTTTTGTATCTGCGAATGGCTCGTTAAATTTTTTGTTTATCAATCAGATGTATTTACTTATGCTAAAAGAAGCTATGTGCATAGGCTAAGTGTGCAACATAGTTTCTTCTGACAAGAATATGTCTAATTAGACGAGATTAATGTGGAATTGAGCTATGTAATTGGTTGGCTTTGTCAGTCATCTATCTTGAGATGGAGGACTTAGAAGGCTTATAAATAAGCCTTTGTTGGGTGGAATCAATGAGAAGCCAAAGTCTGCCAAAGTTAACTCCTTCAAGTTGCTGACACCATGTCATCAATTACATTTGGTATAGCTTGACATAGACCTGATGAGAAGGATAACCTATTAATCTACCAATGGCATAACTTCATTCTACCTTAGTCCTTAGTCTTAATGTCTCAGTGTCTTAGTTTTTGTCCTGTTGACAGACACAAATTTTCAGCAACTGGTTTTATGTCACAACCTCCACTCTTGTGACATTTGAAATAGGAAATTCCCAAATTTTTCTTGTTCAACCAAGAATTAGGAAGCTGTTCATTAATATTCATTGCTTAACAAAGAGAGTCATCACCACAGCGACTGTCGGTACAAATGGATCAGTTTTAGTACACTTAAATTCTCATCAGATTCAATCATGCTAATTCTTTGCTAGAACCCCTCTCTGTTTTATTCCAAGATTCATGCAAGTAACATCCTCAATAATTCTTACCCAAAGGAGAAATTCCAGCTATCAGCTTTGTAGATTCCCTGTGAAGATCAAGACCTTCTTAGGCTAAGTCTGCTAGTCTATGCTGCAGTTTTCAATAATTTTTACCGGAGCTTTACAACTAATCCTTCAAAAATAATTTGTTTCTCTGTGAAAAAATACTCAAATTTTTTGTATACAGGGTGTCCAGCATCAGGATTTTCCCGATTCCATCAGGAATTGAGGTCAATCAGGATTTAATCCCGATTTTATCAGAATTTGAGGAAAAATTGGTCGCAAAATCAGGATTTGAGAAAAGTCGGCCGTCCAATCGGATTTTTTTATCGAGCAATTTTTGTGAAGTTACATTTTTCTCCGCAAAAAACCAGGATTTGATCAGGATTCAGAAAAATTTTGAAATTAGGATTTAGCCATCAAAAATCGGGATTTCCTAAAATGAAAAAAAAAAAAAAACTAGACACCCTATATTAGAAGATTGATTTTTTCCGGAGATCTGCCTATAACTTTTTTTTCTTTCTAAATTTTGAATGCAAGAAGACCTCTCATTTTCAAATGCGTCCAGATGTTGACATTGATTCTGCTCTTTCAACTCTTGAATGATCTGAATTATAATAAATATTCCCATAATTTTCAGATGACACTGTATTTTTGAGTGGAGCTGCCTCTACTCCTATTGAACTCGCTGCAGTCATGACTGACTTTGCGAAAGGCAACAATCTTAAAAATATCCAGGTGTGTCACATGCATACAGAAGGACCTGCGCCGTACACAGATCCTGAATGTGAAGGTAAGTAATTTCATCCTAAATTTTCGTCTCGTACCTAGCTGACCAAAGTTTCCCATTGTTCATGACTTAGTGAGGCACAGGGGCATCATTTCTGCCCAACACTGTGGAATGAGGGGAGGAGAGGTGATATTTTTGGAATGAGGCAAAATTTGTTTGGACCACTAGTCAAGGAAAAGACTCTAAAATTGATTTAAATTGCTCCTAAAAAAAGTACAACTTTTAATGATGGTAGGGGGGGAGCAAATCTACTGTGCTAAGGAAAAGCGCCCTATGAGCCTTTAGACGTTGCCATATTTCCTTCAACAAAACCTTAATTTACGGGAAAAATCGGGAATTTTTTCCTTCAATTTTCTCAGACAATATCGTTCGCAATTTTGTCTAAAATTTCATGGAAAATTATGCATAATTGTTCTCAAAAATCCATGTTTTATCCAGGTCAATTTGGCAACTCTCGAATGTTCATATGGCGTTCTTTCTCAGCATGGAAGAAATGATGGCCCTGCTTCATCTAATATCATCACTAACATTATTCCCTCATCTAAAATTTTCTCGACAAAATTGTATCAAATTTAATAATATCAGGTAATATGATGCAGGTTATGAGGAATGCATAAGTAAAAGAAAATACATCAGAACTTATTTTCTAAATTTCAGGAGGGCAGTTGACCACAGGCCACCTTGTGCTCATAATTTTTGCTTCTGAAACCACTGTAATGAAGTATAAACAGTACCTCCCGGAGTCAATTCAAAATTTATTGTATAAAAAAACTAGAGAGTTAAGCTTCCTCACTTACTCAATGCGTACATCACAATAGATAAAAATTGAGTAATAGTATCGCCGATACACATAATTATTCCTTTTAAGTTGATAATCCTTGACCTTCTTGGCACATTTAGTTCTGCTGACTAATCTTTGCCTTTGCCCCCACCGTTTCAGAATACTTATTGCTTCAAATGCATTTGTTTGCCTTAAAACTATTGTGAGGTACAAAGTCGGGTTTCGTACATTATTTTTTTCTCTCTTTCTCCTTCAATTATCTTCGATTTTTAGATTGGCTTTTAATTTTAGATTTCAAGTATTCATTTATTTGGCTTGAGGAAATAAAAGAAGGAAAATTACAAAATCTTAGCAAACCCGCAATGTTGCATTTATCAACTTCACACTCAAACTCTATTCGGAATCCTAACTATTATCTGCTCAGTTTCACTAATCATATGGTTTGAATGGATTTTTAAGTGTTGACTCTAGTTTGCAATGCTTGCTCAAAAGTTCCAAACGTAATGAAATTTATCGAAGGGTTTTAAAAAAGAAGAAGAAAAAGTGCGCAGTGTTCTGTAGGTAGTAATCAAAGTTGGTAGAGTTACGTGGGCTTGATCGCATTGCAACCCTCAACAGTTTCACCTGATAAATTATATCTGTCCTCACAGAAACGGTTGCTGCTCCATACGGGCAAAATTGTTTTATTGATTCCCTTCAAACCACCTATAAAATTTGCATAAAATGAACAAAAAATGAACAAATAATTATTTTATAGTATCGATATAAAAAATTATTTATGAAACTCAGCAAAGATGCAATGCAGTTTATGAGAACACTCTGCATTGCAAAGGTTCCCGAACATCTTTTCTATGTTTCATCAGCAAGTAAGGATAAAAAGGAAATAGGGGGGGGGGGGGGGGGGGGGGGNAAAAAAAAAAAAAAAAAAAAAAAAAAACAAGAAAAAACGGTAAAGGAAAAAAGTTTGGCAGTGGTATTACGCTTTTCAAGTTCATCAAACCGGCAGTTGGAGGCGAAAGCAAGAGCCGGTGAAATTCATTGAGTGCCAATGTTACTGTGCCAGTGTGTTAGTCCAGTCATGGGACCCTGAGGCCTTGCCTTGGCATTTTTTTCCAAGTCAACAATTACCTGTCTATTTTTAATCTGTGCTACTAGGGCCAGTCACTTGCTGGCTTGAGCTGCAGCTGAAGCTATCAGCTCATGTTGCCAAACTTCAAAATAAAACAACTGAATTCCCTTTGCCTTCTGATTTGGACCAGAAGTCGCCTAATTGCATTTTATGTTGCCTAATTTTCTCTAATATTTTACTTTCTAAACAGAAAACCAACTAGGTAATTTTGAAACTTGAAATTTTGTCAGTACATACACATATTCTTCATAATCAAATGTGAGTTCACAGAAAGTTTACAGGAGCTTAGTTCTCTGTTGAAAAAAGTAAAAACTGAAAAAAAAAATTAGGCAACACTTCGGCAAATTAGGTTCATCTCAGTGGAATCCAGGGATAGGTCCAGTGATAGGAGCTATTTATTGCGAAATAAAGTCCATATGTTGTTTATTCAATGAGCTAGAAATGATGTGAATTGGAATTTTATTATCTTTATTTTTTTGTTTTAAGAAGAGCTTAATACCCTAATTGGCACTGAAAATGCGCAGAATGCCTAAAATGGCCATTTACTGCTGATTTAATCGATTATTTGCATCTTGTATATCATTTCATGTCTTATTTTGGTCATACCTCTTTCTTACATTACAATAGTATTTAAATAAATGAAACAAGTAAAAAAATAAATACTTGTAAATACACACTTAATAAATACTTATAAATAGATACTTATATATACACAAAAGAAAGAGTTCCACCCTCTTTGGCAAGGCATTGTGTTGGGTGAAAGTAGTTCCTTGTGCAAAATGTAGTCCAAATCGTCTGTCCAATCTTCTGACTACCCAACTAACTTTGTTGCTTGAAGGACCTTGAACCAATCAGGTGTTGTGTCCTCTGAATGATGTATAATGAGATGATACGGTCTTGAACCATGTCACTGGTGTCTTTTTATGTGCGTGCATTTTCCTTGTCTTTGGTTGTTTATGTTGAATAATAAATTTAGTGAAGAATGCAACTCTGCCACATTCAGTTTAAATATCTGATATTTTGCTGCTTAACCCTCCATGGCATGGTGTTCTTTATAATTCGGTTTTGACCACAACAAATGTTTGAGTCTTTTAAAAATTGAATTACTCCTCTGTTGCACGATGTTGCAATTTTTTATCGATGTTTTTGTTTTTTAATAAATGATTATCAAAATGTTGAAATTTTGAGAAAAATATTTTGAATTTGAGCGTTTACAAAAGCTGCAGCATAGATTTGTATCTCCTTAAATCCAAAATTAATTTATATTAAAGAGGGTTAAAAACCTCTGAAGTGTAGCGTGCAACAATCTAAGTTCGCATTTTAAAAAAAAAAACTTGGTGAAGGAGCTTAGCTATAATGTAAATAAGATTTTTAGTTCCATTTTTCATTAATGTGACTGCTCTTGAAAGAAACGGCCCAGGCACACTGATGCTCATTTTTGGAGAGTTTGTTTGCTGTCAAGTTGGGCTGAAAAGTGAGAATTCGAGTCTTGTACCGAAATTACTCACTCATGTCCTAAAAAAATTTTTATGAAGGGCTTAGTTTATTTTCGTGCCAATGAATAGCATATCGGTGGCTAAAGTGAAGGAATGCATTTCTCGAATGGCGAAATTATAGGTCTCTGCCTATGTTTCATTTTCGAAGGAAAAACTATTCAGCAATTTCTATTTATTTTTTTTCTTCTTTTTTTTTGTGAATTTTCTTCACTTTTCAGAAAATCACAAAATTGAATGAAAAAATTTTGACCAGTTTTCCATGAAGCAAATTGAACATGATTGCAGTTTTTTAAACGTTGCAGTTAAGATACACATTTTTTGTATCTGGGCATCAAATTGTTGATCTTTATCTCTGAACATGAAGGATCAATACCATGAACATATTGTGCCAACAAAAATATTGAAAAAGAAAACAATGTAACATATTTTTTCCCCCCCTAAATATCTGTTTCACACTCCCCTAGCAATTGCCTTGTAGATGATGACAAATCAGCAATTTGGCAATTCTAATGGCGAAGTTGGATTTCAGTATTGCCATGCTAAGGAAGAACGCCGGATGAGCCTCCAGACTCAGCCAAGTTTCCTTAAGAATTTATCAGGAAAATTGTGAATATTTTTCCCAAAATTTGCAGACAATTTTGTACGCAATTTAATCTAAAATGTCTGAAAATTTGAAGGAAAAATATGCATGACTGTCATCAAAAATACATGTTCAATCAAGGGAAATTTGGCAGTTCGTGAATGTTCATACGGCGTTCTTCCTTAGCATGGCAGAGTTGTACTTCACTGTTTTCTAGGAGAAGGTTTTTGCCATGGGGAAGGCATTTTTCTCGGGGAAGTTTTAGATCTCTGAAAAGTACCCATAGAGGTAAACAAATTGATCCTAAGTAAACATTGCTCTCATTATCTGGGCCATGCAATGGACATTGATATGATCGTTGACTGTTTATCTGTGCCAAAGTCAATCACCGGCTATGTTTTGTGATCCTTGTACCCAAGGTACTTCAGTTCTGCCGGTAAAACAATAAAACATCTCAATTTCCTCATTGAGAGTATTTACAGGGTTGCCACAGTTACGGAATACGGGTAAAATTGGAAAATGTCGGGGGATTTTAAAAAGTCACCGAGAACCTGAAAATGTCAGGAAAAATGACAGAAGTGTCAGGGTAAAATTGTGAAGTTACCATCATTTGCGTTCTAGAATGAGTTTGATGTTTCGAACAGCAAATTCTGCGTAAAAACGATCTCAAATTATGTCTTTTAACCACCTAGCATATTTTCCATTTTCAGGGATTTTCGCCACAATGTGTTAGGGAAATATCAGGGGATTCTATTTTCTAAATTCTTTGACAACCCTGGTTTTTCCCTAAATTTGTACTTACTTTATTTTTATGTACAAGTTTATTGCACTGCTGCAACAATGCTCAAAATATTTCCCCATAGAGCTGCGTTTTTTTCCCAGTTTAAAAATGAGTATTGTAATTTTAAAATTAATGAAAAATCATGTCTTCTTCAAATATTATCACCCTGCTAAATGTAAAACTTCAGAACAATTCTATTACCTAGTACCTCAGTTGATCGAAGCTTTTGCTTAACAAATTGTAATTGGAAGCTTCTCAAATCCGGTTCTAATAATTTGCAGATTGAACCTTTTTCTGTTTACAGCTTTACTTGCTTTTCAGTCCATTTGATATTTTTTGTCCGTAGGTAGCAAACTTTTTTGATCTTGAAAACGCATTGGTTTGAATTGATATGAATGTATAAAATCCATTCTTGTGAGAATTATAAGCTCAGCTCATTGCTATTGTCTCTATGAATCAAGAGAGTTTTAATCCTATGATAATTTTTGTCAGAATTTTTTAGTGCGCCATGCTCATTGTTTGCTTTTTGTTACAGGTATCTTCCGATCATGCTCATTTTTCATGGCTGCCAATGTACGAAAAGCTGTTGCTGAAGGCCGCAGTGACGCAGTGCCAATATTTTTGTCTGAGATCCCTCTGCTGTTTGAGCGTAAAATTTTCCGACCAAATGTTTCAATTGTCCAAGTGAGTGAATTCATAATCAAATTTTTTTCGGCTTTATTTGTTGCTTGAACAGATTTGTCTAAGATTTTCTTTCTTGAGTTATCAACATTCGTATAGTTTTTGACACAGTATAATTGAATACTTACACAGTATTGGCTGGATGTCGTAGAGCGCTATGAAAGCGGCTTTTATAACTGTGCATAATTGAATATAATATTAATGTACTATAATTATGTTTTGCTCATACACTGTTTAATACTTATAGGCCTTACAAATTTATTGGTGTTTGTCCGTACATTTAGACACGTACAATTTTGAAATTTACTGAGGAAAAAATAATTTTCAAGCACTTTTTTACCTAATAACAAAAACAATATCATTCGTCTAAAAACTCCTTCATTGTATATGGGCATCCTTGTTCTGGATACTTCTTAACTTCTTTTCAAATATTTGGTTATAAACTCCTCCTTTAATCGAAGAGGGCAATTTTTTGTAGTAATTTAAAGTTATCCTTTTATCCGCTTTCTCTAGACTTAATGCTTAGTTAATGGTGCCTGGTGTAGCCATAAACTACCGGAATTTTCTAACTGATTCATGCCGATGAAATTTGAGCAAAGGACCAAATACCTGTGAAAAAAATTGGCCTCCGGCCAATTTATGCGCGGCGCAAGCGCCGCGTACCGGCGCTTCGCGCCGGCATGTGGGGGGGCTTCGCCCCCCATCATGGTGCGAAGATCGCACAAGACTTTCTCGCTTTTGCCGGCGCTCCGCGCCGGCATAGACACTTTTACTGCAATATTTAGAAAAATACTGCCAATTTCACAAAATCATAAAGTTTGATTGGAATTTTGATCGCAGGATAATAGTTATGAAATTTTTATTCAAACCACTGCACTATATTGTAAATGTCTTCGAGATATAGGATGAATTCATACATTCGGACTCGACTTGTCGATATTATGAGGCATCTTCAATTAAATATGTAATTGATTAATGATGCCTCCTATTAAAGACGGCGATCCGTAAAAATCTTAGCTTTTCTACGATTCATTAG